AAAACCAATAAAGAAAAAATATAAAAAGGAAAAAAAAAAATATATATATATATATATATATGTATATTAAACTAGTTAAAAAATGTTAAAAAAGAAAAGGGTAAAAGTTAAAAAAATTTAGCAGAAGAAGAAAAATAAATTGAAAAAGAAAAAAAAATTAACTGCAAGGCTAAAGAATCATGGGGAGAAAGCCATGAGTTCCGTGCTTTGCTTTCTCCTCCTTTGGAATTCCGCTGTTCTCCTTGGTATTGAAACTGCACTCCTTGGTAGGTGAACTTGGTCCTGGCTGGGTTTCTTGTTGATCTTCTGGGGGAGGGGCCTGTTGTAGTGATTCTCAAGCGTCTTTGCCCCGGGCGGAGCTGCACTGCCCTTACCAGGGGCCGGGCTGAGTAATCCGCTCGGTTCGCTTTCGGGAGCTTTTGTCCCCTGAGCGCTTTCCGTAGAGTCCGGAGGGCGGGAATGAAGACGGTGGCCTCCCGGTGTCCGGCCCAGAGGAGCCGAGAGCCTGGGGCCCCACTCCTCAGTGAGCCGTCAGAGAACAGCGCCCAATGACTCCCGTCACCCTGGCCTCTGGCCGCGCTCCGAGCTGACCGAGCCTGCGACCGGTTCAAGGTAACCCCGAGCTGAGAGCTCACTCCTCGGCTCTGTCTCTGTAGCCGGCTTCCCCGTTCTACTACCTGTAAGCTCTGCGACACTCAGACACCCCCGATCCTTCTGTGACCCTGCGGGACCTGAGGCCACGCTGACCCTGTGTGGGCTTCACCCCGGTTAAGCCTCTGGAGCGATGTCCCTGAGCGGAACAGACTTTTAAAAGTCCCGATTTTGTGCTCCGTTGCTCCGCCGCTTGCCGGGAGCCGGCCCCCACCCACCCCCGTGGTCTATCTTCCCGTCGCTTTGGATTCACTTCTCCGCCAGTCCTACCTTTCAGAAAGTGGTTGATTTTCTGTTTCTAGAGTTGCTGTTCTATTTCTCTTCGATCTCCCGTTGGATTTGTAGGTGTTTGCAATCTTTAGATAAGCTATCTAGCTGATCTCCCGCTACCTGAAGTCGTCTCAGCCTGCTACTTCTCCGCCATCTTGACTCCTCCCTCCCCGTATGCTTTTCTACTTATGCTTTTCTACTTATTTCCAAACTCCTGTGGTTTAGAATAAAGATTCACTATTCTTGGATGACTTTGTACTTCAACTAAAATACTTTACATATCCTTTCCTTAACATAGTTTTTTTTTTTATTTCTTTTCAGCGTAACAGTATTCATTGTTTTTGCACCACACCCAGTGCTCCATGCAATACGTTCCTTCCCTAATAACCCACCCCCTGGTTCCCCCAACCTCCCACCCCCGCCCCTTCAAAACCCTCAGATTGTTTTTCAGAGTCCATAGTCTCTCATGGTTCACCTCCCCTTCCAATTTCCCTCAACTCCCTTCTCCTCTCCATCTCCCCATGTCCTCCATGTTATTTGTTATGCTCCACAAATAAGTGAGACCATATGATAATTGACTGTCTCTGCTTGACTCATTTCACTCAGCAGCATCTCTTCCAGTCCCGTCCATGTTGCTACAAAAGTTGGGTATTCATCCTTTCTGATGGAGGCATCATACTCCATAGTGTATATGAACCACATCTTCCTTATCCATTCGTCCGTTAAAGGGCATCTTGGTTCTTTCCACAGTTTGGCGACCGTGGCCATTGCTGCTATAAACATTGGGGTACAGATGGCCCTTCTTTTCACTCCATCTGTATCATTGGGGTAAATACCCAGTAGTGCAATGGCAGGGTCATAGGGAAGCTCTATTTTTAATTTCTTGAGGAATCTCCACACTGTTCTCCAAAGTGGCTGCACCAACTTGCATTCCCACCAACAGTGTAAGAGGGTTCCCCTTTCTCCACATCCTCTCCAACACATGTTGTTTCCTGTCTTGCTAATTTTGGCCATTCTAACTGGTGTAAGGTGGTATCTCAATGTGTTTTTTTTTTTTAAGATTTTATTTATTTATTTGACAGATAGATCACAAGTAGGCAGAGAGGCAGGCAGAGAGAGGAAGGGAAGCAGGCTCCCTGCTGAGCAGAGAACCCCATGCGGGGCTCGATCCCAGGACCCTGGGATCATGACCTGAGCCGAAGGCAGAGGCTTTAACCCACTGAGCCACCCAGGAGCCCCTCTTAATGTGGTTTTAATTTGAATCTCCCTGATGGCTAGTGATGATGAACATTTTTCATGTGTCTGATAGCCATTTGTATGTCTTCATTGGAGAAGTGTCTGTTCATATCTTCTGCCCATTTTTTTATATGATTGTCTGTTTTGTGTGTGTTGAGTTTGAGGAGTTCTTTATAGATCTTGGATATCAAGCTTTTGTCTGTACTGTCATTTGCAAATATCTTCTCCCATTCCATGGGTTGCCTCTTTGTTTTACTGACTGTTTCCTTTGCTGTGCAGAAGCTTTTGATCTTGATGAAGTCCCGAAAGTTCATCTTCGCTTTCGTTTCCTTTGCCTTTGGAGACATATCTTGAAAGAAGTTGCTGTGGCTGATATCGAAGACATTACTGCCTATGTTCTCCTCTAGGATTCTGATGGATTCCTGTCTCACATTGAGGTCTTTTTTCCATTTCGAGTTTATCTTTGTGTACGGTGTAAGAGAATGGTTGAGTTTCATTCTTCTACATATAGCTGTCCAGTATTCCCAGCACCATTTATTGAAGAGACTGTCTTTTTTCCACTGTATATTTTTTCCTGCTTTGTCGAAGATTATTTGACCATAGAGTTGAGGGTCCGTATCTGGGCTCTCTACTCTGTTCCACTGCTCTATGTGTCTGTTTTTATGCCAGTACCATGCTGTTTTGGTGATCACAGCTTTGTAGTAAAGCTTGAAATCAGGTAACATGATACCCCCAGTTTTATTTTTGTTTTTCAACATTTCCTCAGCGATTCGGGGTCTCTTCTGATTCCATACAAATTTTAGGATTATTTGCTCCAGCTCTTTGAAAAATACTGGTGGAATTTTGATCGGAATGGCATTAAAAGTATAGATTGTTCTAGGAAGTATAGACATTTTAACAATGTTTATTCTTCCGATCCAAGAGCATGGAATGGTCTTCCATCTTTTTGTGTCTTCTTCAATTTCTTTCATGAGTGTTCTATAGTTCCTCGAGTACAGATCCTTTACCTCTTTGGTTAGGTTTATTCCCAGGTATCTTATGGTTCTTGGTGCTATAGTAAATGGAATCGATTCCCTAATTTCCCTTTCTGTATTTTCATTGTTAGTGTATAAGAAAGCCACTGATTTCTGTACATTGATTTTGTATCCTGCCACGTTATTGAATTGCTGTACGAGTTCTAGTAGTTTGGGGGTGGAGTCTTTTGGTTTTCCATATAAAGAATCATGTCATCTGATTGAAGCTGTGAGATTGAAGCAGTGATCAAAAACCTCCCAAAAAACAAGAGCCCAGGACCTGATGGACTCCCTGGGGAATTCTACCAAACTTTCAAAGAAGAAATAACACCTATTCTCCTGAAGCTGTTTCAAAAAATTGAAGCAGAAGGAAAACTTGCAGACTCCTTTTATGAAGCCAGCATTACCCTGATCCTCAAACCAGGCAAACCCTACCAAAAAGGAGAATTTCAGACCAATATCACTGATGAATATGGATGCCAAGATTCTCAAGAAGATCCTAGCTAATAGGATCCAACAGCACATTAAAAAGATTATCCACCATGACTATGTGGGATTCATCCCTGGATTACAAGGATGGTTCCACATTTGCAAATCAATCAATGTGATAGAACAAATCAATAAGAGAAGAGAGAAGAACCACATGGTCCTCTCAATTGATGCACGAAAAGCATTTGACAAAATCCAGCATCCGTTCCTGATTAAAACGCTTCAAAGTATAGGGATAGAGGGAACATTCCTGAACTTCATAAAATCTATATATGACACCCACAGCAAATATCATCCTCAATGGGAAAAAGCTTGCAGCCTTCCCGTTGAGATCAGGAACACGACAAGGATGCCCACTCTCACCACTCTTGTTCAACGTAATATTAGAAGTCCTAGCAACAGCAATCAGACAACAAAGAGAATTGGCAATGAGGAAGTCAAACTCTCTCTCCTTAATGTCGTTTTTCCAAATTCTCTTGAGCAAATCAAAACAAGGTATAGTTTATTTACAAATGAGTAACTTTTAATTCTTTCTGATAAGACTATCTTAGAGATTTAAAAAATGGATTGCACAGCTTATAACCCAAAAGACAAACAAATCCTTCATTTTTTGTTTAGAGAAAAAAATAATTCATTTTGAAGTCTTCCCTGCGCCCCACCAGGACTATGGTTATTTCTTTGTTTTACTTTAATTATCTAAGTCAAACATGTGATTCCCTGCTTTAAAGTCCTAACTAAGAACAAATGTATTAATGCCTAAAGGGCTTTCATCGTACAGTAATTTTGTAAATTTCAAACACCATAAGTAAATACAGGATCTCAACTATGCATCAGACCTAACACAACATTAAGTTCAATCACATCCAGTAGAGGTTTGAAGATAAGCAGAAGGAAGGAAAAGACCTAATCTTCTAAACCGAGGTCAGCATAAATGAAACGTCCGCTGGAGCCAAGGTCCTGCGGCCAGTGGCCTGGCTACAGCCAGGGGCTTACCCAGAGCTCGGCAGGCAAACAGAGCCATGGCGCTCTGCAGTCGGTCCGGCCTCAGCGCCTGCACCACCAGCACCTGCCAACGAAGCGCAGGGAAGTTTAAACACAGAACCCCAGACACTTCACACCAGCGTCACTGTTACTGAACGAACAAATCTTCCCGCAGGGATATGTCCATACTGATCGTCGTCCCACCGTATCTACTTACACAAAATGCCACGTGTTTAAGAGTGAAAATGTTACTAAAATGCACTGATTTCCTCCAACTTCTCATCAAAAGCCACCGCAAGCAAGTAGCGGTCACGGGTGAGCTGTGTCTTCAGCATCTCATAAGGGGCTGCTCAGCAGGTGAAACAAGGGTACGCAACGGCCTTCTGATGACAGGACAACAGAGGCCCCCAAATCCTGCCTAAAATTTTCACATCACTCTTCTTATGCTCAATTATGTGTCTACCTAGATGTTGAAGTTATCAAGTAGCTTTTCTTGGTTTTGTTCCCTTCTCATTTTAAGCCACACTTGGTAAAGTGTCACTCCCCACAGAGACACGGGCAGGACAGGAGCACTGGGAGCCAAGGGAAGAGAGGCACATGGAGAGGCAGAGGCCCGGACACCCGTCCCCGGGGCGCCTGCCGGTGCTCGGCCTCTGCCCTGAGTTCCTGCGTGGGCCAGAGTGGGGCAAATGCCTTGCCCCTTGCCCCGAGGCCTTCTCTGGAGACATGGTCCCGGGAGGTGAGAGGCAAGCCTGTGCAAACTACACCTGAAGCCCCTTCTCTCAGACTTGGTCTCTAGTGCACAGACACCCTCAGGCGGAGGCAGTGGGGTCCCACCAGCCACTCTGCGGGGACTGCATGTCCAGGGGAATGGCACAGGCACAAGGCCCTTCCCCAAGGCACCGTGACACGACCCCTGAAGGCAGAGCCCTCCTGTAAACAAGCTTCAGAGTGAGAGACAAACGCCAGGTACTCTGAGGCAGTTAGAGAACTCACCTGTTGAAACAAGGACACTTTCTTTGCCAGAATAGATGGGAACTCTTGCTCACACATGGAGTTGTGATAGTAGGTCCGCCACAGACCCACGTCGTCGAAGCAGAGGGTCTGGTACAGGCTGGGGAGAGCGATCTGAAACACAGACATGACACTGCGCGGTGAGTGACAGGCAGACCCGGGGTGTGTGTGTGTGAACGTGTGCACATGCGTGTGTGTGCATGTGTGTGTGTGCACACGGCTGCAAGTAAGCGGAAGCCAGTTGCCGACAGACGCGTGAGCTGCCCTCCACTCACAGTGGCTCATCCCAGCACTGCCAGGTCAGAGACAGCGAGCTAGACGTAGCCAGCCCAGAGTCAGAGAAAATCAAACACCCAAAGCCCTTCTCAGTCAGGGCTGGGGGCCCCGCACGGGGGCACGGCCCGTCTCCCCCGCCACGGGGGGGAAAGGCCCGCCGCTAGCAGCGCGGGGAGCGACGCCACCGCTGAGTTCCACCGCGGATCATGACAACATGCCCAATGTCCTGCCCACGTCAAATCCTTAAGAAAGCGCTTTGTCCTACAGCACACTCGGGTACTGCACCGTGCCCGTAAACACGCTGCTCCCTGCGGCTCAGATGCTCTAAATCCGCACTTCTTGGTCTCTGCCTGAGCCCGACCCTCAGCTTCTCCTGAGCATTCGACACTCAGCCGGAGCGACACCTCAGCACATCCATCTCCTCCTCCCTCACCCAGCACCCTCTCTTCCGGACCTCGTTTCTCCTCTCTCAGCCTACTGACGTGTCACTGACAAAATCGGACATATTTGGGGAGTGCTGTGATCCACACTGACAGACACTGCGACAACCTTACCACAATGAAATAAACTCAATTTATTAACTCCCAAGTTACCATTGTTTTGTAGTGAGAACATGCAGAGTTTACTCTCTTACTAAATTTGAAGCACACAGAGCAAGGCCGTCACACAGGGACACCAGGTCACACTAGTTCTCCAGAACTCCCCTTATATCCAAACATCTGTACCCCGTGTCCAACTGCTCCCCACCTGTCACCTCCCCCCCTTCGCAGGGGGCCTCATGGCAACCTCCCTCCCCTTCACGGCTTTCCTGAGTTCTAATTTCTGTGGATGAATAATGCTCCATCACAGACGGATAGATCCCACTGCCTTTATTCATCCCTCCACTGATGAACATGGAGCTTGTAATTTTATCTTGGGCGCTCTGAATTATAATAATGATAATAATAACCATGGGAGTGTAGATACCTCTTAGACATGGACTTCATTTCCTTTGGATTTATATCCAGAAGTAACAAGTGAGGCTGTTGGAGCAGACAGTATTATTGTCAATGTTTCGAGGAGTCTCCATGGTGCTTTCCATAATGGCTGCGCCAACTTATATTCTCACAACAGAGCACATCTTTCCTTTCCTGCATGAGCTGCTAGCACTTGTTCCCTTGTCTTTCCAATCACAGCCATCCTAAGAGCTGTGACCTGATATTTCATTGTGATTTAATTTCCATTTCCCTAATGATTAATGATGTTGAGCATCTTTTTTTGTCCATCTGTCAGCCATTTGTATGCCTTCTTCAGAAAAACGTCTGTTCCAGTCTTTTGCCCATCAGAGAAGAATTTTTTAGTATAATTTTTTGGAGTATATATGCTATATTAGTTTCAGATACACAACACGGTGATTCAAATCTCTAAACACTGTGGGGCTCACATCGGGGTAGAGTCACCTGCCCCTGCGGAAGGCCACGGCCACACCCGACCGCACCCCTATGCGGTGCCTGCTGTTTCCGTGACTTACTCCTTCCCTGACTTCACCCATCTTGCCCATCCCCCTTCCCTCCGGCAGCCTCTCCTCCAAACTCTCGCCAACACTGGACTGCAAGGTCAGCGATGTGCGGCAGGAGAGAGGGAGAACGGTTACTGAACAGTGGCGCGCTGGGAAGACCGGCGCCTGTGCGGACACTAGAACGGCGCGTGCTATGGCCCTGAGCCAAGTGCTCAGGGATGCGTCATCCAAGTAGCTCTATTCATCCCTGAATAACCCAACATATTGCCCAAATTTCATGAGGGAACTTAACCAAAATTAAACTTATACAGTAGAAAATTAAGTACATTTCACTTTAAATGTTTTAAATAAGCGATCTAAGCCGATGAGGAGAACCGCTGACGGCGGTCTGTGAAACTCCGTGGCTGCTGGTGCGTGAGCGTCTACTGCTGCTGCCGCATGCTGCACAGCGCGCAATCACCATTGCCGGCCCGAAATCCGAGGCAGCGCGGCGGCGTGTGTCTCCCGCTGGAGTCCGGGCCCATCCCCGGGGCGGGCGCAGCGTGGCGCCCACCGTACCACACACAAGTACTTGTCAGACTCCCCGCGGCGCAGGTGGGCTCGGCGCAGCCTGTCCCGACTGACAACACCGACCTGGCCCCCACGGGCGCAGTGCCCACCCGTCGCAGGCACTAAGCACGAAGTGCCCGACTCAGGAGAAGCCGACTGACAACAAAGCAGCCTGCGCTGATCGGACTCACAGGCGTCTGCGAACAGACCATCCGCAGCTGCGGGGAGCCTCAGACTCTGCCGCAATGAGCCTGGGTTCAAATCCTGCCCCGGCTTCTAAGTGACCATGTCAGTCTGGGCCTGGTCTTCGCATCTACCAAGCGAGGACAGTACCAGCAGCTACCTCATCGGGGTAGCGTGAGGTGATCGGCTTTCAAATTCCGCACAATGCGGTGGGCCCAGTGAGTCACCAGTGGGTCAGCCACCAGTCACCAGTCAGTCACCCGCGAGCCATCTTGCGGTCTGCAGCACGTGCCACCCCCCTGCGGCAGCCGCCGTACAGAGCAGGGAGGAAGGAAGGAAAAAGAAACACACAGATTCCGAGGACAGTCGGCTTGCTCCCTCTCCCCACAAAAGCGCCCATGCGGCCTGAGTTCAGAACGCGGACAGAACCCTGGGCAGCTGGGCTCCAGAACCGTGGCCCACGCCCTGTCCTCAGCACCCACCTCCCACTCGGGAATTGGGGGAGGAGGACGGGGAGTTGTGGGAGACAGAGAAGGAAAACACGGTAGTTGGAAAATCAAATACTGAAGGCTTTGACTTCGGTGTCAGAAGGCCTGGACTGCCGTCCCAGCTCCAGAACTTCCACCTGCTTGGCTGACTCTGTCATTCGGCCTCTCCCCACCTCGCCTGCCTCTTTTCTGAAACCGGCATAATTACAGCCTCATCAGGTTACTGTGATGATAAAGCAAGATAATATGTGCAAAGCATTTAATGATTGCCTGGCACATAATGCATCTTCAAAAATATGTGTTAAGGTAAAAAGAAACCTTAGGCTCATTCATTTAACTCACTACTATTGACTTTCATTTCTCATCTGTAAAAAGAGAATTTAATAATACCTGTCTCAGGGTTGGTATAATAACTAAATAACATAAATCATGTAGAATCACTAAATTGTATGCCTGAAACTAATTTTGAACTATGTATTAGCTGTAATTTAAATAAAAACAAAAAATGAAATGAATGAGATAATCCACTTAAAAATGTTTTGTTAACTGATAATGAAATGTTAACATGTATTATAAACCTTCTTTCAATAGGAAACCTGGCTTCCCTAAATGTTTTGCATTTCTTTACTTAAAAAGAAATGAGTATGTGGGGCAAAAAAAGCATCATTACAATTTTTGGGTTACAAATATAAGATTTTGTTCCCCAAGTGTAACTAGAGATCAGCTAGAGATCAAACAATAATCATTAATTTTCTCATTCGGAATTCATGAGCCAGGTCCTAGGACTGTGTCAGAAGTGTTTCATGAGGTAACAAACTCCTAGAAAGAAGGATCCAAGACTTTTATACATCCGTGCTCTCCGCTGTCAACCAGCAGATTACAAATACTTCGTAATCACTTTCACTCAACAGAATGTATGAACAAGGTGACTTACATCCCTGCTTTGTCATCAGCTTGTCCACTCATCTTCACGTGTGCAACCAGAACAGGTGCGTAACAGAAAACGAACTATGCGCCGAGGGTACAGCAGGCACTTACTGAACAGAGGAAGGTACCAGTCAGGTTTTGCACTGAATGTCGGGGACAGCAAGCCTGACCAGGCACGGATCCCAGTCTCTGTGCACCTGCAAGCTGGGAGAAGAGACCGACACACTGCCTCGTTCTGACTCAGGAGGACAGCTGCTGTGATGCAGGAATGTTCAAGATGGATGCCAACAGAAGAGACGGGATGAAGAAGGTAAGTCCTCAAATGTGAAAGCGATGTTTGCCAGGTGAACGTGGCCACAGGGCAGGCTGGCTAGAGGGAGGAGCTGCGGGAAGTGTAAGTGCGAGAAACCGTGTGGAGACAGACTGGAGAGAGCAGGGAAGAGGTGGGCAAGGAGCAGGCCACGGACTGTCTTCTCTCCTACGCAAATCACGACGGACTTGATCCTGGGAGCGATAACCGGCCCTCAGAAGGCTTTAGTAGAGCGCAAACCGAAGTGTGAGTCAGCTTTAAAACATAAAGGATACAACGAAAGAGAGAGGCCTAAGATCGGAAGCAGAGGCTCTGCAGCAAAGCCCCGGTGAATGGTGACAGTCACAACTCAGGGAGCGATCCCAAGGACAGAGCGGGGTGCGGGCGAGGGAGGGACCGCAAAGACGGGGAGGACCTGCGGGTGAGGGATAGTTCAAAGATGAATAAAGCGAAAGAAACAGTTTGATTGGAAACTCTTAAGTGCACTGCATCTTTCTACCAATCCTGAATTAGTCTATCGATAAGGCCTCCACGCTCCGTATCGCATCCTCTGTTTACTTCTCTTCTACCCCCCGTGGGTGCACCACGCAGAACCTTGTGCCATGGAGACCAAACGTGTGTGTGCTGGAGGAAAGATGTAGCTCAGGATTAAAGGACTAATCAGAACAGAGTAACTCTCTGACATCCTTTCCCCAGGGCTCTGATGGCAGAGTCACCGCTGTATCAACACTGAGATGAACAGGGAGCACCTAAAAAAATAAGCATGACTCGGGCGCAGAAGCTGCAGCATCCCCCACAGCAGGAAAGTCGCGAGTACCTTCAGTGTGGCCACTGCCCAGCTGCGCTCCGGGTCTATCCACGACGGGAGCTGATCCCGGATCCTCTGCTGGGAGTCCTTCGGAAGAGCAACGTATTTGGTGACATTCAGACTTAGAAAAATTAATAAAAGACTAGCTAACTGTATGAACTCTGATTTGAAAAACTCATTCTGTGTATTATTACTTCATTGTTTTACTATTGTAAAATTCTATACAACACTATTGTAAAATTCAATGTAACAAGGTATAATAACCATCTACACAAATGTTGCATTCATTTTCATTGTATATTATCGTTTATGAAACTTAAAAATGTAATAAAATATAATAAAAATGGCCACAGATTTTACATTATTTTTAATAATATCTTGCATTTCATACATAATCTAGATTTTGCATTACAGCTTGGGTATTCTGCTTTGAAGTAAACTATTATTCATTACATGTTCAAATAGAAAAGTAGTAGAGAAAAAGCTAAACTTGAATGAAGTTATCAAAAAATTTTAAAAACATTTTAAACTTCAGTTATATGAGAATTTTCGTAGTCATAACACAAAATTCTATTTTTTCAGGATTATAAAGTGTTCTTGGGATAAAATGTGTACTGAAAGAAACTGCATTAGTTTCTTAGTATTTAATTAGTATTATTCTCATAAGAATATGTCTCTAAGGACAAAAATATTTAGATCCGTTTTATAGTACGGTAGTAGAGGCAAGAATATATTCCTCTAGTTAAAGTATAATTTCAACAGAACTGTAAGATTCCTCTGAAGCAAATAATATCTCAGGAAGCCAAAGAGAGAACTACTTTCCCTAAGAGTGAAATAATTTTATTATTTTTACTTACTGCTTTCCGCAACGTGTCTCCAACAACCACACCTGTAAACGTATCCCATTCCTATTGAATAAAAATATGATTTACTCAAAAAATATAAAAAGACTAACCAGCTAGCACAATTTTTTTTTTCTCAATTTCCCTATAAGATGGCTTACAGTGCAGCTTTCTAAGGACATGGAAAGAAAAAAAAAACAATAAAACTCATGTCATGTCTTCCCTTTCTGGTTCAACACTGACATCAAGAATGAGTTCATGTAGCAACGTAACACATTCCTAGGCAAACGATGAGCAATAATTTTTTACTAAAGCAAAAACCTAACTACAGTTTCTCTCCCTATATATATACAATGCTTCAACATCCAAAAATTTACATGTCGTGTTCAGTCAGTGTTTATCTTGATTTGCCCCATTATACGCCATTTTTCACTAATAAATAAGCAATAAAGTGCATCAAAAATTTAAAAAATTCTGTATGCTGGGAAAAAATAGAGAAAAGTACTTCCATTAGCTTCTCTTTTTCAACAGATTAGGAGAAGACTGCCATTATTCTTTTTTTAAATTAATCCACAGAATCATGACTGACCCAGGGCTACAGAATCTAGTGCTCCAAGATCTCGGTGTTCACCCTGACCTCCCTGCAGGTAATAATGGGCACTACCATAGTCTTTGTTATGTACTGGTCGGCAAATAAAGAGAAAACATATAAAAATTTGAGAGCAATATAGAAAAAAACAAAATTACTTCCTGCCTCCACCCAGCATGACCACTCACTCCTCTTCACTGAAATCATACAGTCACGATGGAATAGAAATGGTTACTATTACTAGACAGGGGCAGAGAAAAATGTTCTCTTCCCAATATTTACGTACACTCCGGCAGGGAAAACCAGGGAATATTAAGTCTTACACAGTGCGGAATGTACTGATCATGGTGAAAAACATGATACGGGGGTGGGGGGAGGAATCAAAGCTAATGGTGGAAATAAAAGGAGTCAAATCCACAAATTCAGGAGAAACGATACAAGTTGGCCAGAGCAAGAGAGAAAAACAGGCACGTGGAAAGGTCTGCGTTCTTCAAGTTTGATTCCAATAAGGAGAGCCCAGGACATGAAATCCAACCAAGCAGCGGGGACGGTCACAGCTGGACTATCTGTCCATACGCTATCCCCCACCTTGATGCTCCACTCTCACTGACGACAGTGATGTCAAAACCAGAAAATTGCTTACAAATAACTTTTTAAATGTCAGAAGCACACCAGAGATGGATTAGTTAGCTCTAACCTGAAGGAGGTTCTTTTCAAGTGGGAGAGGTTGATAGGGCAGACCAGGAATGAAGTTATAGACAACGAAGATGAATTACACATAAAAGACTAACACAAGGCTCTGGGCTCCAGGACGTTTCTGGAAACGGCCCACCTTCTTGCTTCCCATGCTGACTTGGAGCAAGTCAGTGAAGGGGGTAAAGAAGGCAGCTATCCACCAGCACTGTTTCACTTTGTGCATGTATCAGCTCCACTGCTCGTGCGAGCAAGACAAGCAGGGGACTGGGGTTCAGAAAGGTCTAGAAACACTGGGGTAAGTCACTCTGCCTCACCATCCCTTCCATATACTGGGCCCACCCAGAGGGGAGAAGCAGAAATCAGCATCTTGCACTAAATTTTTAACTTAGTAAAAAATCAATAGGTTGATAGATAATTTCTAGATGAAGTTATTTCTACTCCAACCATAAATCTGCCCATTACCAAACTTCTATGTAACTCTAACAGTTTTCTCCCTTACCCCCACTTACATTTTCTTGAAAAAGTTCAGGATGCATGCCTCGAACAAAATGCAAAGCAAACATCAACTGATCAGCCTGAAAAGAATAACAAATGTTATCTTGCTGTTTCTAAATGTGTGTTTTCAGAAAAGCACAGTCCTGAAATGTCAGTTCACAAAATCTGTGTCCTATCTTTAAATTATCTACTTTTACCAATATAAGAAATGGCTATCCCAGTGGCCCCTACACAGAATAATATTTCCAAGTTGTAGGCGGGAAGATAGAGAAAGTACCTGAAGTTTTAGAGAAAATGTTAAAGATTAGTCATCATATAACTGTATATATACATCATATAATTTATATTTATTTATGTATATCATATAAATGCATATGTGTCACATATATACATCATATAATTTATGTATTAATAATATACATCATATAATTATATAATTAAAAAATACAGATTTAATAAGCTGAAATCCAATTTTGAGGTCTGAATTAGTCATTACCATGAAGATCAACCCCCTGCATTAGTAATCTTCAATCTGTCATTGTGTATGCTTACATGATTCAGAACATTCTCTATGCCCTTAAATCAAGATATTTCATTTCTAGAAAGTTATGCAAAGGGATGATGAATGTATTTATAGATAAGAAATGAGGATATTTGATGCAAGATTTTTTATTATGGAGGAAAAACTGAAACAAACTAAATGTTCAAAAGCTTATCATAAATAATATTCAAATCAAAATATAAAGCATAGCCCATACAATGGAAAGAAGGGCAATATATTCATATAAACATATATGGATATATATCTGCAAAAAAAAAAACTGAAAAAAAAAAGGAATCAATTTTTATTGGTGATTTACTTTTACAACTATAAGTTATTTTTGGTTTCTTCTTTTTCTCTTAAATGTATTTTGTAAATTTTCTAAAATAAACTTATCTCATTTCTGTTTAAAAATACAGTAAATGCTTATTAAAAACAACAAAAAATCATCTACTCTAGCACCATCTTTCCCACCAGTTTATAATTTAAGCATTTTATATAGCTTCCCCCACACTATAAATAACATTTTATATCTCATACGTGCATATGATTATAAATCTACACCTAGACTAACTGTAAGGGCTGTAGAGACTAGCAGCAAGTGATCTCCTCACCTGCGGGAAAATCACTCCTCTGTCGGAAAGATTCAGTGTCTTGAATAACACGAGAGGATAATTTCCTTTATGAAAGTATATGTTACATATGTATACACAAGTACTCAACGAATGCCTATTAAATGAGTAAATAAAAACCATGTGTTTACAACCATAACATAGTCAATGCCTGAAAAAAAAAAATTCTCAAAGTAGAAAACCTTTAAGCAGACGGCCATCACTCGGGTGTGGAAAAAAGTTAACACCAGCTACGATGTGTGTGAAATGACTCCCATGTGGCTTAAAAATACAAAAAGCAAGACACAGCATCTGGGGAGATGTGCAGTGTTATCAGGTATTGGGGAGTACAAATTCACGCGGCCCAAGCAGGCTCACCGGGCTCTCTGTCGATGGTGTTCTCGGCGGAAAGTGGCCGAAGAAGCTGTTGCTGGCAGTCAGCCATGAGCATTTAGGAACAGTCTTCTAACAAACAACAATTATGACTCAAAAGTACTCCTAAAGGGCGCCTGGGTGGCTCAATGGGTTAAGCCGCTGCCTTCGGCTCAGGTCATGATCTCAGGGTCCTGGGATCGAGTCCTGCATCGGGCTCTCTGCTCAGCAGGGAGCCTGCTTCCCTTCCTCTCTCTCTGCCTGCCTCTCTGCCTACTTGTGATCTCTGTCTGTCAAATAAATAAATAAAATCTAAAAAAAAAAAAAAAAAAAGTACTCCTAAAAATATAATTTACTGAGAGACAAGAGAACATTTTATTTCCAAATAAACTGAAGTCAAATTAAGAATGAACACATCAAGCTTACGGACTTCCTGTGTACTTATTTCAAACAATAACAACAACAAAAAACCTGCCAATATCTAGTTGAGAAAACATTTTGTGCCTCCAATGTCCTTGATCTACACTGCTCATCAGACGAGGAAATTTAGGGTTTTTTAGTTCAATGTCAATTTATCTCATCACACTTGGGTTCTCTTACAAAATTCTTTACTATCAAGGGGCTATAAAATAAGCAGCCTCTCAAGTGATTATCAACATAATTAGCATGAAGAGAGATCGTTAGGAGATGACTACATGGTATGACTCAGCCACACAGTGCATCCTCTGTCATTACACATGCTCGTCAATGTTCACAAAGGGTAAAACCATTAGCACAGGACTCAGAGGAGATACAGGAATCCTCAAGTGCATGTCTCGGCTGGGACACAGTTCACTTGTCCAGACACAACTGTTCAGCTTCACCCCCAGCCGGTCAGCCTAAGTCTCTCTGCATCCAGCAGAGTGGGTTTAAATTCCAGTTCCGACATCCTCTACATCCGGAAAACCTACAGAAAGGTGCTAGCTCTAAATCTTGATTTCCTCCCTTCTAGAATGGGGTTGTTGTAGGAATTAAGTAACAATGCATGTCCTTGCACAGTGCCTGGAACATTGGAAGGTGACAGAAAATAACTACCCGCTTTCCAGTAACCTGATGTACTACATAATACTGCACTGAAGAGGAAATTTATCTTAAAAAATTCTATAAACCACATGATTCTCAGAGATTAAGAAGCAGTAGGAAGAAGAAGAGCACTCTACACTATTCGTCACTTGCAAACACATTCAGGGAAAGTATAAAACAGATGTTACCGTATGAAGCCCTGCTCCAATCTACACAATACTGAGATAGCACCGACCTTGAGTACCCACACTCGAAGTCACACATTTTAATGAACAATTAAATTTAATGAACAATTCTATGCAATCCAACTCTACTTATGAGAATCTAAAGGGTTAGATAAATGCTAAGTTTCAAAATTTCCTAAGCAGAAGAAAATGATCCAAATTATCAGGATTCATTTTAACAGCAACAAGTTATAAAATTTATAAACAGTCAATCAAAGAACATCCACTTTTCTGTAAAAGAAAACACATTTTGACAGAAAAAAATAAATACCAGAATCCAAATTCAATGATTTGTCAGATAAATACAATCATGAGACACTAGGATTTTATTTTGAAAATATATGATTCATCTGTATTTTATTCAACTAGCCAATTCATTGGAAGAGGGAGGTGAGGTGAGCTCTCCACACCTCACCAGGCAGTCTTTCTACACCACATCAGAGCTCTCTTAGGAAATACTTCCGCGAGAAGGCCAAACACTGAGAGTACATGCTCTCCAAGGCCTCTTCCCAACCCTTTTCTCTACTCTCACCCAATATATGTGGAAATTATTTAACACTCCAACGCAACTTCCACTATTTTGTATCTACTCCAAGTGATAAACTGGGATGAAGAAATTACCTGGAGAAGTACTAACTTGTACACAGTTCCATTATAATCATAAGTTTTGGGGAACCAAGTATGCTACTTATGCTATATTGTCCAAAATACTTTGGTTACTGAAAGAAACACTTTTGGTGGCTTGGAGAAGAAGAACGGCAGAGCCAATGATCTCGAAGGAAAGAGCTTTCTCCATTCGGTTTGGTTTATTAAAAGTCCAAAGTTCCCGCTACAAAACAGGTCAATCGTTTTTGTTCCAGGTCAAGCTGGTTCTCTGTGGGTGTGACGCGACCACTAATAACCCAGCTTCTGTTTCAGGGTCTCTCGCTGCCACAACGCTGTCACCAACACACCAGCAACATCAGCAAGAGAGACTGGCAGGGAGGGTAGTGTGGAGCTGACTGCCACAAACACAAAACCCTTTCGCTAAAATACGAAATCAGTTCCACCCTGGGTCAGATTACAGTGCTCAGTCTTGAGAAATGATCTCATTGCTCTACAATTCCTGTACTTTCTGGTTACGCAACGCTGGAACTCCATGGATTGCTGAATTCACACTGATAGAGAAATCGGAGTATTAGAAACCAGACAGTCCATCTCCAGTTAAAACACGTCTCTAGAATTATACATGACAGCTTTCTAAAGGTGAGTGTTAACTGCTCACAACAGAGAAGTATTTCTCAAGACGGGCAATAAGGAATTGCACATGCGCACCGCACTGCTGAGGACGCCCAGCCTTTGCGCCCCCATGTCGTGCAACAGGACGCTGGCTGGAGCCTCACTGCCATGTGTTTGCACAGGGGGCAGCCCCAACTAAACTCTGCTGACAGAGTCAACCGTCTCCACACTGAACATGCACTGTATCTTCCCCTAATTACATGACAGAACGCATGACATAAGGGTTTAAATCTCATGCGTCAACAGTGTATTACTAAAAAAAAAAGTAAGAACACATAGGCAGAGGCACAGACATACGGATCAGAAACAAGGAATTCCGAACAAGGTACTGACCTCTGCAGTGAATAGGAAAGTTTCTATTATCTTTCCACTGAAACATTTTTAAACTAAGTGCAGGTCTGTGATATTTTCACAAATCACAGCCTATTTGAGTGTATAGATCTTGAAAGAAAAGTAAAAAAGCATTAAGTATATTCTTAGGAGAGTGATCAAAATGAAGCTTTGTGGCTCTAATGTATTTGCTAGAAGAATAAGAAAGATTAAAGCTACAAAGGGAGGGAGAAAAAATGAACCAAGATGGGACCGGGGAGGGAGACAAACCATAAGAGACTCTTAATCTCAGGAAACAAACTGAGGGTTGCTGGGGCGTGGGGGGCAGGGACAGGGTGGCTGGGTGATGGACATTGAGGAGCCCATGTGCTATGGTGAGTGCTGTGAAGTGTGTAAGCCTGATGATTCAGAGACCTACAGCCCTGAAACAAACAGTACATTATATGTGAATAAAATAAAACTAATCATAAGAATTCATAATGTAGCAATCAAAAATAAATCCAATGATTAAAAAATAAAATTTAAAAATAATTACAATAAAGTGGACTTGTTCTGTAAACAGCTTATTCTTTAGAATACCAAGAAAATCAACAAACACGGCAAATAAGGAAGGTAAAATAAACTTAAAATAAAATAAAGCTTGAAAATCTTTCAGAAAATATTTTTAGGTTGTGTCTGTATAATAAAAATGCTTCAGTATTATGTGCAAAAATACATTACACAAATGTTAGAGATGCCATCCTCCTATCTACCTAAGGTCATAACGTTTTAGGGATAAATTGGGCTTTGAGATCATCTGCTTATAAGCAGATATTATTAATCTGGTTATTATTAATCTGGAAATTATTAATCTTTCTATTTTTATCAAGTTATGGCTTATAAATATTTTTATCTCCTCTGAATTTTTATTAAAGCTGTTTATTTTACCTTCCTTCTTTATCTGCTTATAATTCCTCATTTATGCAAGTTAAAACTGGGGGCCAAACAGGTGATTTTTAGAAGGATGGCTAACCATAAGAGCTCCAAAATACACATATACACTGTCTATAGACCTATATGGGGTCTCCACAGTTCTCATTAAAGAAACATCCCGCAGAAATGTCCAACTATAGGTCTTTGAGCGTCCAGTAATAATTCCCTCTGTCTCAAGGAAACATCATCAATATTCTGACTGTACTCAAAAAAGTTACTGTCCCTTTCTGAAAAATGTATTAACTGTATCTTTCCCAAGATTTTCTAAGAACCCTACATAACAGTACCATAGTAACTCTGTTTCTCTCATGTAGTTAATTGCCTTTACAAAGCTCTTCCTCATCTAGCTCAGCCTATACCCAAAGACCAGTACTTAAAAAAAAAAAAAAAAAATTCCTAAGTGAAAGGTGAAAGCTTCTATTTTCTACAACATACAAAAATTTCTAAATTACATTTCACTTTATAATCCTCGGGGACCCTTGTAATACAAAGACGCCCATGACAAATTTCACAACTCAGGATCAGGCATTAGTTTACTTCCTAACGCCAGGAACGGAACCAGTTTTGTCTCCCAACCTAGGGGACACTGGCAATATCAGGAGGTATTTTTGAATTTAACTGTGTAGAGGAAGTATTCCCAAACAGGCCCCCCAAACATCCTACTGTGGTGCACACTGGCACCAGTGCTGAGCAGGGGACACCGGTGCAGCTAGAAAATGACCTCCACAGCCTGGCTACTGGTGTCCAGAGCCACAGCGGCAGACCCCCTGCACGTGTGCTCTCCCTTCCTTGCTCGCGTTCTCCTCCCTCACAACCATACCCTGCCACTCCATGAGACCTTCCAGTTAGCAATAAGCATCATTCTGGGAAAGTATCAGAAATGCCAATTTCAATACCTTTCTGTAGGTAAATGTGATACAATTTAACTGTAATAATGAATGAAATCAAAATACAGGTCGTATTTTATACGTGAAAAAACAATACTTCTTACCTTGAATAGACAACGGCATATATATTCATAGACCATATGTTTTAATGAGCTGATAAGAGACTGGATTCTCTGTTCTGTATTTTCAGATTCCTATAGATTACAATTAGAAAATTTAAAAAACCATTAGGAAATTTATAAACATGAAAATAATACCCCCTAGCATAATCACACCTATAAACTGCTCCTCCAGACTCAAAGCTGATTCTGGAACAATTATCTTTGTCAATTCAAGGGGCCAAACAAGTACATTAAATTTGTACACTAATACAAGAAAAATTTTGATGTATTTTTCTTTAATGCACAGAGTTAAGGATTTAAATGAATGAAAATTATAGTCAATTTCCAATAATACAATGTGAATTGAATTTGACAATACCACTTTGATACCTAATGGCATTAAAAATACTATTAGTATGGGTTAAACCCATTTCATTCCTTGTATTATAATAATCAGCCCAGCCCCAAAACAGGGTGACCAGAACCACCCAATATAAAATTTTCTCATCCTCAATATAAGAACCTGAACAATCTTAAACCACGCCTTCCACGTTAGCTAAAGATGGACAATAACTTCGACCGTGATGCTGTTAAGAACTCATACCACCTTTAGTGTTTCACCTGTTCTCTTCTTCTGTGTGGCACATGACTGCCACGATCTGGAAAATACCACTAATGGCTGTTCCCTCTGCTTACTGAAGAAGGGCTTGGTGTAGACACAGACAGAGGGGACTGTCAAGGCTGGTCTGTTCCCCAACAGTGAAAGAGCTTTCCATCTCACCTCAGGGAGCACTTGGAGGAAACAGCCCGTGAAAGTTCCACTCAGCTGTACTAGTTAGGCTAAATTTTCTTGCTTGCTTATGATTATAACTGACAAGAAAAAAACTCGTACGACAATTTTAACAGTTTAAAGAACTACATCCAGGATAAGCAGGGTGAGGTGTGACACCGACATAAAACCACACAGGCTGGTTCTCATGTGCAGCAGGCCCCGGCCCGGCCCCAGGGGTACCTGGACTACCTGAGAGCTCACGTGGCAAACAGCCTTTCCCCTTCACTACTGCTTCACGAAGATCACACACGTGCACAATACACACAATACACACATGCACACATAAACACCAGCATGCACGTGCACACATACACATGCACACACATTCACAATACACACACACATGCACATATACACGCACATGCATACACATACACATGCACACACACACAAAGGTCAGTGTTATTCAAGAGCCACGCCATCAAAGACTGCCAGTTCCTGAGGAGACACGGAGCTGTGCACCAGAATAACCCAAGTTCTCACTGGGTTCAGGCAGAACTGCAACCTCTTCATCAGTTCTCCTAGTCCTTCAGGGTCGCTGACTTTTTTTTTTTAAGGTTTTATTTATTTATTTATTTATTTGACAGACAGAGATCACAAGCAGGCAGAGAGGCAGGCAGAGGGGGAAGGGGAAGCAGGCTCCCCGCTGAGCAGAGAGCCCAACTCAGGGCTCGATCCCAGGACCCTGAGATCATGACCTGAGCAGAAGGCAGAGGCTTAACCCACTGAGCCACCCAGGCGCCCCCAGAGTCACTGACTTTGAACAGGAATATTTCTAGACTAAAGGAAAAGAAAGAATTTAAAATAAACTTATAATTGTGTACTTTCTAAGTAATTTATGAGAAATTTATCATGCAAAAATTATTCGAAGATATAATCCACTGTTGGTGGAGACACAGATGGAAAAGGCGCTGTCACTGCCTCGGTTTAACACGCCAAAAGCACATGTCCCCAAAGGTAATGAGAAGGCATTTGTCTGAGAGCTTACAGACGGGCACTTTGGTCCCAGTCATCCAAGTCTAGGAATTTAACTCAGAAGAAAACTAGAGAAGCAACCCACTGAAAACAGAGAAACCGTCAATGTCTGTAGCTGCCTTAATGCCTCCATCAGAAAGGATGAATACCCAACTTTTGTAGCAACATGGACGGGACTGGAAGAGATGATGCTGAGTGAAATAAGTCAAGCAGAGAGAGTCAATTATCATATGGTTTCACTTATTTGTGGAGCATAACAAATAGCATGAAGGACAAGGGGAGTTGGGAGAGGAGAAGGGAGTTGAGGGAAATTGGAAGGGGAGGTGAACCATGAGAGACTATGGACTGTGAAAAACAATCTGACGGTTTGAAGAGGTGGGGGGGTGGGAGGTTGGGGGAACCAGGTGGTGGGTATTAGAGAGGGCACGGACTGCATGGAGCACTGGGTATGGTACAAAAACAATGAATACTGTTATGTTGAAAATAAAAAACAAACAAACAAACAAACAAAAAACACAGGCCCATTCTCTGGCACCTGGGTGGTTCAGTGGGTTAAAGCCTCTGCCTTCGGCTCAGGTCATGGTCTCACGTCCTGGGATCGAGCCCCGCATCGGGCTCTCTGCTCAGTGAGGACCCTGCTTCTCCCCCTCTCTCTCTGTCTGCCTCTCTGCCTACTTGTGATCTCTCTGTCAAATAAATAAATAAAATCCTTAAAACAAAACAAAACAAAAACCAAAGGCCCATTCTCTGATACCGTCTTGTCAAGAGGTGTGCACCCCCCCCGATCACAGCAGCGTTGGGACTGCCTCCGCCAGACCGCACACAACACAGGTGACACTGACCCCAGGCTGACTTAGAACAGCTTCTGCCTCACGCACTGGAACACACATTCGGCCCCCAACATGTCCTACCAGACATCTGCTACTCTGTGTGGCGCAGAAGTCCAGCTCGGTGTCCTCCTCACCAAGCCCTCTTGCCCCAGGCACTGGGCGAGCAGGGGAGCCTCCCCCTCCCACCCCTGCTCCACTCCTCCTGTCCCAGCTGAGGTCCCAAACACTATCAAAGAGAGGTAAGCCATCGCTGCTCGGCCCTGGCCAAATTTCCCACAGAAGCCGTGAGCTGAAGAAAACCACCATCAGATTGGCCGAGCCTGGGGTTAGGAAAACGTCTAGACAGCACATGCGTACAGGGCTCACACCATCTGGCCTCACAGTCTTCCCAAACGCTGTGCAGGTTTCTACGGAGGGCATGAAAGCTGTCCGCGCTACCCTGGGGCTTACTGTAAGGACCGTGATACCTGTGGGTGAAGACCCCCCTCCCCCTTAGCAGACACACTCCGTAAGGCGGAGGACACTCCTCTAGCCTCCTTAGCTACAGGACCCGGCACGGAGCACAGCTCAAATGACTGACAATGGCATCTTCGGTGTTGTTCTCCCCAAGCAATGAGATTACGCAGATAACCTCTTAGCCTTATACCACTTTAATGATAATCTATTACTTACGGATTTGTACTCAGAATCATTTCCAGTGAGAGGACTGCCACCCCAGGATGGGTGGTATAGAGTGTAAAACACAATTCAGCTAGTTTCTGAGCTAGTCTCTTTAGATAGTTTGAAACAGTCCCATCGGCCTTCTGAAACAGAATTCCAGACAGGTTTTCACAGGCAATTCTCACCCCAAGCCAAGCCCCTAGCCAAGGCGTCTCAGCCACTGCCCACTATGGGATAAGAACGGCATACCTGCTTGTTCCGCAGAGCTCGCTGGAAAAGTCGCAGAAAGGCTGCCAGGCTGAAGCGGTACATGTTGTTAATTTTGGACAAGTCGGAGATGATGAAGTACATCTTGCTGGCGCTGTCAGCCAGGGGAAGGTAGGCGTCCCGCTCCTGCAGATCAGAGGGCGGGGAGGTGGCCCTCAGTGCTGGCTGCACCTGCCACCCTGTGCCCCGCCGGCTGCCCTGCGCGTCCCACATGGGTGCCACATGGTGACATGTCACACAGCACCATCTAGCCTGCCTTCCTCTTACAAGACTGAGCACCGCGGATTAAAGAAGTCTCAGCTCCGGGACCACATGCGCGGCCCTCTGGAGGGCGCAGAGCACCTGCCTGAGGGAGCAGTGAGGGGGGCTGCTCAGCAGTCATGCCCCAAGAGAAGCGGTGCGACTGTGCGTTCCCAGAGGGAGGCAGTGTAGGTCGCTGTTAGGGTGGCCAGAGGGCAGGGCACCATCGGCCCTGCGGGGAGGGGAGCGTGGAGACTGTGAGTGTAGAGCGACTGCGAGTGTAGAGAGACCACGAGTGTAGAGTGGACACCAAGTGTAGAGTGACCACAAGTGTAGAGCGGCCCCCGAGTGTAGAGCGGCCCCCGAGTGTAGAGCGACTGCGAGTGTAGAGCGTGTGGGTGCTGGGGCCGCAGGAACACTGACGGAGCGGAGCCTGGACTGGGGGTCAGGCTCTGCGTGGGCGCGGAACAGACCGAGAGCACACGGACCCCTGGGACGGCAGGGAAGGGGCCCCGACTGGGCAGGGCCTAGTGTTCTCAGTGGGACTCGGGAGTCACTGTGATCCCAGTGCCAGGATCACAGAGGTGATGTCGTTACGGGATGCCTCGGTACTGTGCGTGCAGGAGGGAGGCCAAGCCCTGTGCTGTGAGACCAGGAAGAGAGGGGTGCACCATCGGCTGGGCTCAGCCAGGGGGCCAGGCTCGCCACGGGCTGCACACCTGCTCCTGCAGCGGTTCCCACAGAGGCTTTCCCAGGACAAATGGCAGTGCCCTGCAGGTGCACAGCCAGGACAAGGGCTGGATGGCACCGAAAGGACACCTTCAGCACGGGCCCAGGCGAGGCTGGAGCCCAGAAATGCACGGGAACCCTCATCTGTCCGGGCATCTGCCCGCCTTCAGGCAAAGCTCCATCACCAGAGTGCAGAAGGAAAGGCGGGCTGTTCTGAACTTGGACTAGGATTTTGCAAAAGGGCTTATCAAAAGAAAGGCAAAAGGCATTTTAAGCCATGGCATCTTAAGGGAAGAAAATGTTTTTAATGGAAAAAACACCTTAGAACTCCTACTTAACATACTGAACGTGCCTTAATCTTAAAAAGCTCCAGGAATAGCAAAGATGCTCTTAACAGTCATTTTCAGTCCTCTCATGTTCAACTTCAGTGTAAGGCTGTCACCCCAGAACCAGAGCTAACGCGGCACCAGAAGTCAGCAGAGGCCAGCGGACCTCATGTGCGTTGCCCTGAGCGTCTCAGCACCCCCCAGAGCAGGACCCATCAGACCCAGGCTCTGGGCTTTCTGAAGAACTTTCTTTCTTTTTTGTAATCGTTCCCCCAAAGTCCTGACTGTCCACTGTTTAGTCATATTAATATAAAAGCTTAGGAACACGTGATGTAAGATTACAAAAAAAGGAAACAATTACTTGGTCAAGGGAAACTTGGAGTTTGTAAGATGCTTTCAGCGACTCCTGAATAAGCGCGCTGCTCGCTTTCGTCTGATTCAAAGAGTCAATCAAATCCTTATTGTCCAAAATATTCCCTTGGGATGTGGCAAGGGTCTGCAGCAGAAATCAGTAAGTAAAATGTGGCGATTATCATACCTGCTAAGTAACCCATGGAAAGAAGCCCGTCTCAGCTCTCCTTAAATAATGTTTATGAAAACCTACGTTATTTTAAAAGAATTTCAACACTTTATAGCTTATGAGAATGTTAGAGTAAATCATTACATAGTATATCATCAAAGCATACGTCTTAATTTTATCAATCTAATAAAATAAAAACCAAAGGTACAGATTAAATCATAATCTCATGCTACATTTTAATGCTGCTTGAAACTCTAAGCATATAATAATTAAACATTAGTGAAATAATATTATATAAAGACAGTATTCCTTAAAAATCACTTATTTTAGACATTAAATTACCATTACTTCTTAAGATCTTGTATTCCAAGACATCTACTTTTTTCTCTCTGATTTTTTATTTTAAGATATCTTTGATACAACCAAAGACATGTGGAAGGTACTACTGAATTTTTAAATAGCTATTAATTATATTCACTAAAAAAATGTCATATAAGAAAGCATCCTGAATAACTAAATTTTACCTCTAAAAGAGATTCCTCAAGCTTGGCTAACTGTATTTTCTTATCTTCTTCCTGTTGTAATAGTTTTGTTTTCTGCTCCTCTAAGTCAGGTTTCTCATGCTGAATAGTTAAAGCCAAAAGCTTAAAAAAAAATTATTTTTAAGTCAGTTATTTTAGAGGTAAAGTTCAAACAGAACAAAGCAAACTTCCCACAAACAGGCCTTGTGTTGTGCCAAATATTGCAATTATTATGATATTATGTACTTCTTTTGACTCTAATTAAATATGACTATTATAATATTCATAATTCATATTATATTATAATTTTCATAATTATTTTTGACGAAAAAGAGGCAAATAGTTAAACTGATCAATAAAACATTAAATAGTATAGGACATGTGTAAGAAATTTTCTTACTTAATATATCAATATGTAATATTTAGTTCTAAAATTAGATTAAATATGTAACAACTATGGAAGCTAGATTTTTTAAGTGGCAAATATTCCTATAAAGAAACAAAAAGATCTCTTACTTAAAATACTCTATCCTCACAATCTCAGTGAGACACCACTTCACCCCCACTAGAACAGCTACAGTTGAAAAGACAAGTAACAATGTGTGTCAGCAAAATGGGGGAGTGGGGAGCAGAATCCTCACACGTTTCTGGCAGGGAAGTAAAGCACAGTCACCTTGGAAAAGTCTGGCTGTTCTTCAAAATGTGCAACAGAGAGTTACCACAAGAACCTGGCAGTCCACTAAAAAGCCACAGAACTGCACACTTTAAATGGGTGAATTAAATGAATCTTCCTAAAGCTATTTTTAAATGCTATGTCAAATTCTTCATTTTGAAACTTTAAATTAGGGTTTATGACACGGGAGGGTCATAAAACATGTCCATGCAAATCTGTCGGACAAGCAACCTCACTGAGCACTTCTGACAGATCTGACCCCCGTTGTGTGGGGATGGCCAGGCTCCAGACAGAATGAGCAATTTCATCAATCAATTCTGCCACGCTTTGAGTAATCCCTTCATAGTTTTATTTATAAGAAGCATCATCCAAGTAAGTCAAAACATACCCTCCATAAAAACACATGCTGTGAGCTGTATGTTATTATAAGAAAAAGAATTTTAAAGGAAATTTTTGAAAATTATAATTAAGTAAAAATGTACCAAATATACACACTATCATAGTAAATGAAAACAGGAAGAGTCTACAACTGTTAGATGAGTGAAAAACAGAAGGACTCAAAGTCAATAGGCAAGATAGCCTTAAGAGGAAAATGAGAGAGGAAACTATGTAAGCAAAAGCCTAGAATATAAAAAATCATTTTGAGACTCACATAATGGTCTAAATCATAAGAAGTCATACACAGAGATGAAAATTCAAAGAGGCATACATTCTAGTGGAAAAACAAATGTCAGCTGGGGACTCTAACACCGCCCTCAATCAGCCAAACAAGTCAACTGAAACGGAGTTCTCGTATGTGAACTTTAGTTTTTATAATTAAAACAGAAAACGTAGCTGAACTCAATCTATGATCATTCCCTCTCCCAAACTCTCCCACACATGACAGAAATCGACCCTGAAATTAACGTGCGGCTGGGAGAAGCCGTGCTTCCATGCTAACAACAGACGCATGAGTCTAACACAAATGATAAAGTAAACCCCAACGCTTGACTCCACCCACGAACAGATTGTCAAGACGGTTCCAAAAGTTTAAACGCTAATCAATTCCACAAAGGCACCTCCAGTTCCGAGAGTCCTCTGATACACCAAGCTGCAGGAGACCGCAGAGGTCACGTCTCGGTGGCCACACGTACCTGTCCTCGCAATCCACTCCTGGTGGTCGTGAAGTTGACCTCTGTAACAATGGAGGCTGCGTCCGGTGGGATGAAGGGATTTGGGTTTCTTGTTGACAAGAAAAGTCGGAATTCTTCATTGTAGTCAATAATTTTGTCACCTATTTGTACCACATAACGTGGTCCTATTTGTTTAAAACGACACAATTAGTTGGCTTCAATATTCTGTCTTTTGCTTTATGACATTACCAAATCTAATTTACATTTCCTAGTATTCCTCAACAGTCATTAGCACAGGCTTTTTAGTAGAGTATGGAATAGCAGCAGTTAGCTGCGCAAGGAACTAGGAACCAGAATGCCCTGTTCGTCAGCACATACACAAACAGGGCTTAAGCACCAGTCAGTAAGACGATCTTGGGATACTGATGCGTCAAAGAAATATATACATATTACATTTTATTCAAAATTTTCCTGAAATGACTGATTATAGGTGACACAAACAATAACAACTCAGTTATATACAATTCTCCACGTAACTCATCAGCGGCTTTGGTGGCTCAGTCGGTAAAGCGTCTGCCTTTGGCTCAGGTCATGATCTCAGGGTCCTGAGATCAAGTCTTGCATCGGGCTCCCTGCTCAGTGGGGAGTCTGCTTGGGATTCTCTCTCCCTCTCCCTCCACCCCTCCGACTCATGCTGCCTCTCTCTTGCTCTCTCTAAAATACATATTTTTTTAAAGTGTTCATTTTCTAGCTTTTAAGATGTACTATGTAAAGACAGAAAGAGCTGGTGAAAACCTAGGATTATCAATATATGAGGAATTGCAAGGATGCTCATTATTAACTTCAAAGGACTTATTCAGATTGCCATATACAAGTGATTTGAGGTAAGAAATTAAACTAAGAGAAAATAAAGTTCCACCTCATAAAGGAGTATATTCCAAAGTTTAATAAAAAAATGATATCCATTATACAACACACACAGAAAAATAAATCAGCAATTATACCCGAAACTTAAAATTTTAAATTGACAACAAATAATTTATTTTTTAAGTACAAAATACACACTTTCAAAGATTATTTTCAAAGACTAAGAAAAGTATTGTAAGGAGTTTTTGACAACCCCAGAATGGGTTTTTAAATTTTACTTAAAAACTTTTTTTAATATGAAAATAATTCAATAAGCACTTTATGAAAAAGGATATATAAATGTCCAAAAAACAATATCAAAACAATGTTGAACTACAATCTTTATCAGAAAAACACAAACTTAAAACCCCAATGAAATACTTCTACATCAACTAGAATGTTTCAAGAAAACTTAAGCAGGATAAATGCAAAGAAAGCCAGTTCTAGGGACATCATAATCAAACCGCTGGAAACCAATGGTGAAGTCATAAAGCATCTGGAGGAAAACGCCCATCGCCCCTGAAGAGTAAGGATAAAGCCACAAGTGTTTCTCAACGGGACTGACAAAAGCTAGATGATGAAGGAATAAAATCTTTTAAACTGCTAAAGAAAATAAATACCAACCCAGGATTCCATGCCAGGCCGAAAAACAAATCTCCCTCAGAAATCAAAGAACAAGAAGTTTGTTCCCAATGGGCCTTCCCTGAAGGACACAGGAAAGGAAATGCCTCAGACAGAAGAAAGCTGAGGTGGGCGGAGAGGGGCGCACACGTCCCACGATGAGCACTGAGCCGCGTCCACAAGTGCTCCGTCACGGGGCCACACACCTGACACTAACAGAACCCTGCCTGTGAACCAAACAAGAATGGCAATTTAAGGGGCGCCTGGGTGGCTCAGTGGGTTAAAGCCTCTGCCTCCGGCTCGGGTCATGATCTCAGGGTCCTGGAATTGAGCCCCGCATCGGGCTCTCTGCTCAGCAGGGAGCCTGCTTCCCCCTCTCTCTCTCTGCCTGCCTCTCTGCCTACTTGTGATCCCTGTCTGTCAAATAAATAAATAAAATCTTAAAAAAAAAAAAAGAATGACAATTTAAAAAAGGAAAAATAACGTAGATGTAAATGAGGAGATGATGGGAATGATGAAAGACTTTGAGAACCACAGAAGGATCAATCTGTGTAAATACAGGTTTTAAAGACAGTCATTAGGACATCCTGTGACCCTGATGGTGTGTCACAGCAACACAGGGGCAGGTAGGGGGTCCATGGGGTCAAGTGCCCTGGGGAAGTGGTAAGGCATTTAATTTATTCGTAATAAAATAAAAAGTCAAAGATACACATTGTTATATGGAGGGTGACCATTAAAAAAATAGGCAATGTTTTATCAAGAAATAAAACCACGTTAATTACAAAACTGGATCAGGGATCAAATGACCTGCTTAGCTGTGTTAAATTACGTAACAAACTGAAAGACTGCACGGTGATTGGAAATGAAAACCAAGTGATAAAGTGAAGAGAGGCGCCCTTGAGAAACAAGACTAACAGAAAATGGAAAGTAAAAGAAAAAAAATTATTACCATGCAGACACTAACCCCCCAAAGCAATGTAACCATTCTAATAGCAGACTCTAAAACTTGATACATTTCTGTAGAAAAAGGACATTTCAGAACGATAAAGAAAATAACCCAAACAGGGAAAGATCACATTTTCAAATATGTATGCACCCCAAAACAAAGCTTCAAATATTTAAAGAAAAACTAAGAGAACTAAAAGAAAAACAAATTTAAAAATCATAGAACCTTTAAGAAATTCTCTCAAGAAATGATAAAAAAAAAAAGAAAACAAGGCAAAGAGAGTAAAGACACACAAAAAAACAACACTATAATGAACAAACCTGACAAAACTAACTTTAGGAAAAATTAAACAACAAAGAGCAAATTTCACATAATTTTCAAGTGTACATGGAAAAATTAATGAAATGTCCAGCTATAGAGAAAGAACACCAGGGTTCAAACAACTGAATACTGCAGAGCAAGTTCTCTGGCCAAAAGGGAGTTGTGTTGAACATGAAAGGGCACTAGAAAATCTCCAACTGCCAAGACATAAAATAACAACAATAAAGTTATGTAAGTCAATGAACTGAAAAAAAGTTGAAACACTGGCATGAAGCTGGAGGAGGGCCGAGAGGGAAATTTTTAGACATCAATAAATGTATTTAAAAAAAAAAAAAATGAAACGTCAGTATTTTGAATTTCCATCTCAAGAATCTAGAGAAAAGAACACCAAAGGAAATCTAAGGAAAAATAACGGGAAGGGAATTCCAAAGAGGAAAAACCAGTTCAAAAATACAATAAAGAGGACGATGGGCATTACGGAGGGTACCTGTTGTGATGAGCACTGGGTGTCATATTTAAGTGACAAATCACTGAACTCTCCTCCTGAACCAATACTATACTATAAGCTAACTAACTAGAACTCAAGTAAAAACGTGAAACAAGGGGCGCCTGACTGGCTCAGTGGGTTAAAGCCTCTGCCTTCAGCTCAGGTCATGATCTCAGTGTCCTGGGATCGAGCCCCTCATTGGGCTCCCTGCTCAGAGGGAAGCCTGCTTCCTCCTCTCTCTTCCTGCCTCTCTGCCTACTTGTGATCTCTGTTTGTCAAATAAATAAATAAAACCTTTTAAAAAAAAGTGAAACAAAACAGAAAAAATAATTTAAAAATTTAAAAATAAAGGAAATCAACAAAGTTAAAAGTTGGTATTTTGAAGAGATTAGAAAAACTGATAAACCTTCATTAAAGATGGATCGAGGAAAAAAAATGATCAATGTTAAGAAAGAGACATCATTATACAACCAACTTAAACCAAAAAGTTATGAGAACATTATATAAAATATACACCATTACATTTGGCAATTTGGACAAAATGAGCAAATGCTTTAAAGATACGTAACTTTAGCAAACGTGATACACACACACCATAGAAGACAAACAGAACAAGTCATGCCGGCCGGCAGTTCACAATGAGGTCCTCTGGAGACACGGTATGGTCATGGGAAGATGGCCCAGAGACACCGGTCACAGGACGGGGCTTACATTAGGTGACTGGACAACAGTTCAAGGACCGTGTGGTTTTGCTGGGAACAGGTGCGGACAATAGATGACCGTGATCTTAATAATGTTTCTCGAGGAGGAAGGGAAGTGGAAGGGGACTATGTGATAACTGGTTAAAACACAACAAACGCAGAAGCCACTCCAGTTAGCTGGGAGAGGAAGCTGTCTGGTTATCGGTGTGATCGGAACGTACTCTCATTTGAGACCGAGACTTGAGGATGGTCCCAGCATGGCCTGTGTGCTGCTGGTGCTGTGAAATGACTCCCGGTCCATGCGGAACACCACAGCGGGCTGTGAGGACCAGGCCAGCCCTATGGAGTCCATGGCTTCTGCTCTCTCTCCCATTTAGGCAACATACGGACACAAGCCAACCTACCTACACTGTCAGAAAGGCGGTCACCCTTGTGGGGGAGCGTCGTCAACAAGGGAGCTTCTGCAGTGCAGATAAAGCTCTAGATCTTGCTCTGGGTGCTCACACAGGTGTATGCTATTTGCAAAAATTCTTAAACTGCAACACACACATATTTCAATAAAATGTTAAAATTGAAAAACACCTGGTTTTCTCTGGTGAATAGGACTAGTCGTGAGGAAGGAAGGGATGGAAACCTACATCCATTCTGTACTATTTGGTTTTATAAAATGTGCGTGTTTTATTTGGACAGAAAATTTTTTAAATATTTCAAAGTAAATGGTTCATTGTCTAAAAATGACGCTTGGATGTAAGTGCTGTGTCCTACCGTCAGGAAGCATCACGCGGAACAGTAAAGCCCGACACGGGCGAAACGGCTTCAGGCCTCAGTGTATGCGGGAGTTAACCCACAGGGTTAGCAGCGAAGTTCATTTTGACCATTTTCTATTCTGGACACAAAATCTTCTGTGAACCTTAGAGAAGCCTAGACACACCACGATGGGACACAAGTACAGATTGGTCTCCTGCTCTCTTTCCAGGGAAAGTCCAAACTGACATGTTTGTTATCTCGGTTCTGAACCTGGATCAGGTTTCAGAATATGGTTTGGTTTGGTCAACATTTATAATAGATACAGACGTTGTATCTGTTTCCAGGTCCAAACTCTTCAGAACTACATTATCATCCAACCTAGACAAATCCAAGTACCATGTGAACCACCATCAAACATTCCATCAATGGGTAACATTTCGGTAATGGTCTCCACTGACACAACTGCTCCACTGTGCTGATACCGTCCCAGGCTGACGAGCTGAAGATGAGCAGGATTAAGTGAAGACAAATACAAAGTCTTGCCAACCAAATGAGCAAACTGACAAGGCCCGAAAGACAGCCCACATCGCCCATTAAGAATAAACCACTATCAGACAGAAGAAAGGGAAATGAAGGAGTCGATCCCATTTACAATTGCACCCAAAACCATAAGATCCTTAGGAATAAACCTAACCAAAGAGGCAAAGAATCTGTGCTCAGAAAACTATAAAGTACTCATGAAAAAAATTGAGGAAGACACAAAGAAATGGAAAAACGTCCCAGGCTCATAGATTGGAAGAAAAAATACTGTGAAAATGTCTATGCTCCCTAAAGCAATCTACACATTTAACACAATCCTTATCAAAATACTATCCATTTTTTCAAAGAAATGGAACAAATAATCCTAAAATTTATATGGAACTAGAAATTACCCTGAATAACCAGAGAAATGTTGGGAAAAAAAATAAAAAGTTGGCAACATCGCAATTCCAGACTTCAAGCTCTATTACAAAGCTGTCATCATCAAGACAGCATGGTACTGGCACAAAAACAACACATAGATCAATGGAACAGAATAGAGAGCCCAGAAATAGACCCTCAACTCTAGGGTCAAGTAATCTTCGACAAAGAAGGAAAGAATGTCCAATGGAAAAAAGACAGCCTCTTCAACAAATGGTGGTGGGAAAATTGGACAGCCATGTCCAGAAAAACGAAACTGGACCGTTTCCTTATACCACACACGAAAATAGACTCAAAATGGATGAAACACCTCAATGTGAGAAACGAATCCATCAAAACCCTTGAGGAGAACACAGGCAGCAGCCTCTTCGACCTCAGCCGCAGCAACTTCTTCCGGAACACTGCCAAAGGCAAGGGAAGCAAGGGCAAAAATGAACTATTGGGAATTCATCAAGATCAAAAGCTTTTGCACAGCAAATGAAACAGTCAACAAAACCAAAAAATAACTGACAGAATGGGAGAAGATATTCTCAAATGACCTATCAGGTAAAGGGTTAGTATCTAAAATCCATAAAGAACTTACCAAACTCAACACCCAAAGAACAAATAATCCAATCAAGAAATGGGCAGAGGACATGAACAGACATTTCTGCAAAGAAGACATCCAGATGGCCAACAGACACATGAAAAAGTGCTCCACATCATTTGGCATCAAGGAAATACAAATCAAAACCACAGTATTGGGGCACCTGGGTGGCTCAGTGGGTTAAGCCTCTGCCTTCGGCTCGGGTCATGATCCCAGGGTCCTGGGATCGAGCCCCACGGCGGGCTCTCTGCTCGGTAGGGAGCCTGCTTCCCTTCCTCTCTCTCTGCCTGCCTCTCTGCCTACCTGTGATCTGTGTCTGTCAAATGAATGGATAAAAATCTTAAAACAAAACAAACAAACAAAAAAAACCCACAGTATTTCACCACAGTGAAATACAAATCAAAACCACCTCACAACAGTCAGAATGGCTAAAATTAAGAAGTCAGGAAACAACAGGTGTTGGTGAGGATGTGGAGAAAGGGGAACCTCCTCCACTGTTGGTGGGAATGCAAGCTGGTGCGGCCACTCTGGAAACCAGCATGGAGGTTCCTCAAGAAGTTAAAAATAGGGCTACTCTATGGCCCAGTAATTGCACCACTGGGTATTTATGCAAAGGATGCAAACATGCAGATTCAAAGGGGCACATGAACCCTGATGTTTATAGCAACATTATCTACAATAGCCAAACTATGGAAAGAGTCCAAATGTCCATCAACTGATGAATAGATAAGGAAGATGTGGGGTGCATGCATGCATGCGTGTGCGTGTGTGTGTGCAATGGAATATTACTCAGCCATCAAAAAGAATGAAGTCTTGCCATTTGCAATGACGTGGATGGAATCAGAAAGTGTAACGCTAAGTGAAACAAGTCAGAGAAAGACAAATACCATACGATTTCATTCATATATGGAATTTAACAAATAAATCAGATGACCATATGGTGGGGGAAGGAAATAGGGAAATAAACAATAAGATTCTCTTACTGACACAGAACAAATTGAGGTTGCATGGGTGCTGGTAGGGAGGGGATGGGCTAGATGAGGGCTGGGCATTAAGGAGGGCACTTGTGATGAGCACTGGGTGTTGTATATAAGTGATGAACCACTGAATCCTACTCCAGAAACCAATATTGCACTGTGTGTTAACTAGAATTTAAATAAAAATTGTAAGGAAGGGGCGCCTGGGTGGCTCAGTGGGTTAAAGCCTCTGCCTTCAGCTCAGGTCATGGTCTCAGGGTCCTGGGATTGAGCCCCACATCGGGCTCTCTGCTCAGCAGAGAGCCTGCTTCCCTTCCTCTCTCTCTCTGCCTGCCTCTCTGCCTACTTGTGAGCTCTGTCTGTCAAATAACTAAATAAAATCTTTAAAAAAAAAAATTGTAAGGAAAAAAAAGGCATCAGGAGCTAGTTCACAGATCCGGGTTAGTACCGGTGAGGAACAGCCTGACTGAGCGCGGAGACTGACATCTGGAAGGGAGCTCCCGCTCACAAAGTCCGAAGCCCACGGCTGCCAGCCTGTCACAGCACATCAACCCCTGCCAGGCCGCGCCCCGCCCCGCTTCTGCCCCGCGTCCATCTGCCACAGCACCTCCAGGTTCTATTTCAAGCTTGCAGGGTCAGCTAAGTCCCGCGGGGCTGGCGCGGTGCACGGTGTCAGTCCGTGTGCACGCGTAAGTATGAGTCACCATGGTCTGGAGCGGGAGAGCAGGATGTTCCCGCCTAGAGGGCAGCCTGCAGGAGCTGTGCGGGAAGAGGAAACCTGGCGGTCCTGAGACTCCGCCCGCGGCAGGGCCCGCTGCTCAGACGGCCGGCTTCCCCCCCTTCTGGAGCCTGCATGCCGGCCGGGTCCTCATGTGGACCGCCCGCAGCACGCACCACACAGTGTGGTTTATGCCCAACGGCTGCTTTCGTTGGGGCAGGAGGGTCTGGAATGTGGTCTCGTGCCGGGCGGGACAGGCTGGCCACAACACCGTGCGATCGAGTGTCCACTGAGCCTCCTTGGCCCCTGCCATTGCACAGGTGCTGTCACAAGCTGGTCCTGGGAGCAGGAGGCTCGCCCCGCGGGACCCCGACAACAGGGGCTCGGAAGTTGGCACCTCATTTCCGGACTGCTGACCTCACGCTACATGTTGTCTCTAGGCTGACTTCGCCTTCTGTCTTGTCTCTGCGACGCATCTTAGCCCACAGTGAGACTGTTTCAAGTCCTCTGTCTTTTGGACACACACTGTCCCTGGGAGAGTCTTGGAGACCCTGACACGAGGACACCTCTATAAAGGCCAGAGCTCACCAACTCTCCCTTCTGGACCACGACGGCATTCCCCCACTCAACCAGAAAAGTCCCATTCAGCGGCAAGACCGACACAGGTCAAAGTGAGCTATGAAGTTACATACTGCGGAAATTCTAAAAATAGTGACTCTGGAAAATGTCAAATGCTTACCTTGAGCAACCAGATCTCGTCTCAATAAAGGATAGAGAACGGGTTCTACACCATCCATCTCTTGGATAATAAGGGTTTTCCCAAAACGTACTGCCAACTCAAGAGCCGTAATAAAGTTACTATCCTGAGAAAATAAAAAAGAATACGCATTAATTCCTTTATTACCTTAATATCCACAAAGGTCCTTACAGATAATGAAGGAATATATTAATAGGGATAATATGAATATTTTAAAATTAAATATGCATGTTAATAATTCAAATTATTCATGATTGCTTTTCTAGTTATAAGTACTGGCTGATGAATCATTTTAGTTGAATAATTATCAAATAGGTTTCATAAATAATTCAAATAGACATACAAAAAGTAAAGATTTAAAAAAAAAAACTTTTTTCAATCCTTTATGATGATTTCAAATTTCAACTTGATGCAGAAACAAATTTTCAAATTCCTTATATAAGTTACTCACCCAAATATTACTAAGAACTACTTTGGTTATGTTCAAAATCAAACAGCAAATGGAAGAGTAAAGAGAAATGATGAATTCTAGCCAACTTTCTCCTTGACGTGATATGTGCTAGGTCTAATCACTGTGGAAAGAACATCTGGACAAAATTCTGTAACCAGGCAAGATTTTTAGACTTTCTAGCTAGTAAAAGGGTTTTAAACATCACTTCAAGCCTCCAACTATGGTTACAAAAATTAAGTATTTGGAATAATAATTACTAAGCTCTCCTCCCGTAAACTGTAAGTGGTTATTTATGTATTATCTAATTTATAGTTAATTCTTTTTTAAAAAAATATTTTATTTATTTATTTGAGAGAGAGAGAGACAACGAGAGAGGGAACACAAGCAGGGGGAATGGGAGAGGGGGAACCAGGCTACCGCCAAGCAGGGAGCCCGATATCGGGCTCCATCCCAGGACCCTGGGATCATGACCTGAGCTGAAGGCAGAGGCTTAATGACTGAGTCACCCAGGTGCCCCTAACTTAATTATTCTTAACACACAAATGAAGCAAGTACCTCCATTTTATAAATGAAATATGTTTGAAAGAGGTAATTGCTCAAGCACCTAAAGAATATCTATGAAAATGAATACAAATTACACTAGGCCTTTCTCAAAGAGAAAAAACACAACAAAAACCTGTCCCCAAATAATTTTCTCAGCACAATAAATATGGCAGTGAGAGGTCACAACTATGATTACGTTTTGCCAATCAACGTGTCTCATGCTGGGACACCTGAGAGACACTCACCAGTGAGGAGCAGGGACAGGACATGAGGAGAGGCACTGAGAGAAAGCACCATATGCTGCAGGTCCAGCAGCCTCTCTCCAAGCAGAGTTGGGAACTCTTCCTTCTCTAGGAGCCTATACTTATGTCTTTGATCATAATGTCATGTAAATGCTCATTTAATCGTCTCTCTAACCTCCCAGACTGGCATCACCATGAGGACAGGAAATGAGACTACCTTACTCACTAGCAAATTCCCAGGGTTCAGATTAATGCCTAGCATTTGGAGCGATCAAATAAATATTCTCATCCCTTTCGTAGTAAAGCTAAAAGTTTCCCTTTCCTTCCCCGGGTCCCATGCCAGGTACGTCACAGGACCGAGTCTGTGCCTCCTGAATACAGACCCAGAACTGCGCCCACCGCGACATGCTGGTACCAGTCGGTGTCTCAATTTTAAGTCATACAAACCTGCTGGTTAATGACTTCCAAACGCGAGTCTTTCAAATGTGTCTTTAGCCACTCTGTAGCTTGAGAAGAAGGGTCTATAAGGAATGGGCATACTTGACTCTGGTTCCAAAAAAGGAAAAAAATTATAAGCTTTCATCAGATGGAAATCATTTCCCGAAAAAGGTGAATCCATTACTAAGTGAGTTTTCTCTCATTTGGAACAGGTACATACACAGCCCTCAGGAGGGAGTAAAGGTGCGGTCTGAGCCGCACCCAGAGGCTGTACCAGTCCACTTCAGAGCTTCCGGAAATTCACACTAGAAAATGAAATGCCACCACAGTAAAGCGCGAACAGTCCCCTCACTACACAGTAACTCAGAGGATGTACAGCAAACTACAGGGAGCGAGAGCTCTGGTCCCAGCGTGACATCACTCGCACCTGTCTTCTGGCTTTGAAAAGACACAACCAAATTATTCCAAACTTTATATATGCTTTGGTTGAATAAGCCATAAAGACCTTAGAAGAGAAGTATGAACTCATCATAAAAGTATTGTTCAAATAATTATCAATATAACATTAATTCTTAGAAAGCAGTATGGCTAATATTATAAAAGGAGCATCCTAGGAAAGATGTAGCTTATAGATTAAGATCTAATGAACTAGGAACTAAACCCATTACAGGGTACCCTGAAACAGAGAGTTAGACACCAGTGGAAATGCACTAAACACACAATGTCACTTAGCAGGTGAAAAGAAGCCAATTATAGAGATATGATTAATAAAAATATATGTAAGTAGATGAATACATATATTGGCAAGTTTGAAAGTCTAATATTACAAGTATTGTTACCCAGGAAATCAGACCTAAATAATAACTGGCCTAATTTTTCTTACATGTTCACACTTAGAAAACTGTGAAGCGGTCGGGCGACAGGGTGAAGGAAGTGCACGGAAGCACAGGTGACATGAAGACATAGCCCCGAGGAGCATCTAACAGGGGCACAGAAACTATTTCAGGGACACACCAAGGAGGCTGAGGGTGGGGACCATCCGCCCCAGGGACAAAGAGCATTTTGTCAGCAACGCTGCTTTGGACCCACAGCTGGTGGTAATAAAGACCTGACTGACAATAAACCAGCTTCATTATGGTTTTAAAATGCCCTCCAGCCACACACCCCCTTTTTGCTTGCACCTGGAACGGACCGCTCAGGCCCCCCGGAGCTCCCACAGTGGCACAGGGCAGTAGGATCCCCTCTCAAGCTAGTCTCTCTCTAGCTACTCCCACTTACTGCTCCATCACATAAACGTGCCTCTCCTAGCAGATGAGGTTTGGTACGCAGCCTCGTATGTACTTCCTGTGTATCACATCTACACTGGAGATCTAATTCTATGCTAGTAGGAGAGCAAACATTCACCAAACTACAAAATTTTGCCCAATCACACAAACAAGGATTTTAAAGTTTAAAAAAAATGTTCTTACCCATGATTCCAAACCAATGATCTGATGCAGTAAAAAAAAAAAGAAAGAACATGTTTCAGTAGGACCAAAAACATGCCCTAGAATGCCAAAGAGCACTTACAATTTTGATTTCATGTTATTTATACTCCTCTGGAGAGATTTAGACAAAATCTCTGAGGTATATTTTAATATGATTATTATGTTTAATGTCATGTGATCCATGATTAAATGTTGTCAAATTCTCCATGTAACAAATTACAATAAATCCAAAAACGATAAGCTTTCATTCATTCATGAGTTCATTCACCTACCACGTGTTGAACAACTACTAAGTCAGACAATATGAGGGCTACAGAAATCAAGGACGCTTACCCTCAATGACATCACACCCAGGAAAGACACGGAAACTGACAGTTCCATAAAGAACACACAAGAGTCTACAGGCAGGGCACAGGTGGGTTAGGGAAGCCACTAGAAAGCAGTTCCAGTCAAACTAAGTCAGGAGAGAGAAACAATACTTAGCCTGGGGAAGAAGTAGAAACAGCACATCAGGCAAAGGGAAGAGCACTGACAGACAGGGGGAGAGAAAGCCCGGCACAATCTGGAAGCTGGCAGAGCCCGGCAAGCCTGGAGTGAAGCAGCAGAGGCCGGACGGTGCACAGCACAGGGCAGGAGCGGTCTCGGTGCTTCGGGTCTTACTATGCTGTGGCTACGAATGACAAGTTTACGCTGCAACGGAGAGTCACCGAAATCTACTGATCAGAGCGTTGTCGTGATAAGGTTAGTAAGGTAGAAAAAGCACTCCTACGGCGGGGAAGGTAGTGATGCAGGGGGGCCAGTGACCGCCAGTGTGACACTGTATTCATCCAAAGCCCCACTCTGCAGCCGAAATGAACCCACTGGCCGTGGTCGCGCTTAGAGCAGGATAAATCCATGATGCTCCTGAGATGTAGATGTGACAAGATGTGTTGAGGAGCAGGCTGAATGGAAAACTAGAGAGACAAAAAGAAACTTGCGGATACGCTGCTTACTCTCCTGGGCCAGCACAGACGTCTCCACGGGTCGGAATAAGAAAGAGCAAGTCACAGGGAGGAGGAGGAGAGAAGATCCTCAGTGTGCAAAGCTACCTTTGCCCACCTGCACGCCCACTCCAGTGTCTGCGATGGGCCATCAGTCATCTAGCATTAACCGACATCTAGCCCAAACCAACCAGCACACTGCCCACGCTAACTGATCAGAATCCTTCTGGGGAGAGGGTACGGACAGTGTCGGGGTGGGGGCTGCAGACCCATCTCTAGTGCCAGAGCATAAACTCTGATAATAGCAAGCCAGGAGCCACCAATGGCCATCCTTGACACAAGGCAGACAGAACCTAGCTGGGAATGAGGCTGTCTGTTGACATGGGTTGGGAAAACGATGTCCTGGTGACACCATTTGAATCCTATAGCTGGTCTCAATGTTTTCAACATCTCGGTTAACTTAAAAGCACAAGTTCCCTTTTTTTCTTAAATGTACTATGCTTGGCCACTAAAAAAAATTCTTGACTAAAAAAAATAAATAAGTAATGATTAATTTAGAGACAGAGGCAAGTGACTTCACCCTTGTGTGCGGCAATGTCCGTATCTATAAATAGGGTAACACACGGACCAGAGAAGGCGGATTTGAAAATCCAGTGAGACAGGGTTGAAGTGTTTTCCCTGTGTTCATTCTTACATAGTGATACGTGTACGAAATAGTATGAGTGCTTCAGTGTTACTATTCCTTATTTGAGGTTTATTTGCAAAAAGAACTTTCTCTATGTGATTTACCTTTAAAATTTTGTGTTCTTTACATTAAGATCCAATTAATTTGCATTTCCTGAACCTACACTGAATGTCAGAAAGGAAAACAATCTCAAAAATTCTGTGTGGTTTAAAAAAAATTTGACAAAAAAAAATTTTGTGTGGTTTAAAAACAATTTGACACTGAACTATCTACAAACAGTAACATCAATACATGTCTTCACAAGAAAAAATTTGCTAAATATAAATCAAGAAAAATTTATAATACAGTAAAATTTAAATTAATCACCTTTCCCATCTCCTTTTGGGATACTTTTCACTCATACCTCCCCCGTGGTTTCTAAGCCTTAGAGCTCTGTGCTACCGTTGGGTCCCACCCACAATATTGGGAAGATCACAGAAATTATCACCCAGGTCAGGACACTCTGGAGAATAAAAGGAGAGCTAATATTAATTACATCAGGACCACAGATGTGAATCACAGGACAGGCAATCCAGGACACAGGGTCCCCATGGCCACGTTCTTCCCAGCTCATAAGAACATAGGTCACAGGAACCTCTTGCTGATGTACTTAAACTAACTCTCATCACAAGGTCAATGGGAGACCATTAGTTGATTGTTTCCTCTTCTAGACATTATTGCACTTCAGTAGTTAGTTTAACACAAATACTTTTATAAGACAAACAAAGGAATAATCATGGACACAAAGGCTCTATGAGGACCACTGACGGAGAGAGCAGCTGCAGACCGTGAATGTGGGAAAGCCCCCTAGGAGAGGGAGAGCGTCAGGAACACGCTAGCGGTATCAGTGAGATGAGCTACATCTCTCAATCCAAATTACACCGGACTCATCATGCCTAGTCATGTTTAATGCAGGGAAAACTTCCCAGAAACCCACATGTATCCACTTAGAAATCTAATGTCACATATACCACTTGAGCAGGTCTTATAGATGCAGGCTATCCAATCATGGCCTCACCTGCAAGCTTACTCTAAGTGCAGACTACTTGAGAACTGAGACAGAGGGCTGACTAGAATGCAAATTCATCCCCCCAAAAATAACTAATTACCCTAATAAATTTTCCATACGGTTTTTGTCATATAGATGCATGTAAATATCGGCAATAAATACGGTAATATTACATACACAGTAAATCTAAGCTTATTATGAAAATCAGTTTCAAAAACAACTTGTCCCATATTCATCATGAAAGATCATTCAGAACACAAAAGTAAACATTTTCAATTAGTATCGTCAGGGAAAAAAATACTGTGATAAATATTTTTTTTTCTAAAGTCTCACCCCCCTGATTTCTTATGGAATAAAAAAAGAATAATATTTGAACTCTGTGTTTTTTAAATCTGCAAGTGATTGTTTACTTAGATTGCTAAAAAAAGAAGACGAGGTGACTATGAAACTTTGGGGAAGGAATAATGGGATAAAAAGCACCAACTATGGAGAGAGCCCAAATGTCCACTGATTGATGAATGGATAAAGCAGTGGTGCTATACATATGTATGTGTAACTGTACATGTATGTGCATGTGCATGTGTATCTGCATATGTATGTGTGTGTACCTACATGTACACACAGATACATACGTACACATACGTGTATATGTACACACACACGCAATGGAACACTACTCGGCCATCAGAAAGAATGAACTCTTGCCACTTGCAAAGACATGGCTGGAGCTGGAGTGTTTATGCTAAATGAAACAAGTCAGAGAAAGAGAAATACGACGAGCTCTCACTCACATGCGGAATTTAGGAAAGAAGGCAGCTGAGACTCAACGATACAGAACAAACCGAGGGTTGAGAGAGGGAGGTGGGCTGGGGATGAGCTAATGGGGGATGGTTGCTGAGAAGGGCAGTTGCTGTGAGACATTATTGTAGTTATACGTAAGTGATGAATCACTAAATTCTACTCCTGAATCAATTTTACCATATATGTTAACTAATTTGAATTTAAATAACTTGAAATTTTTAAAAAGCACACACTTTTTTATATAATGTAATGAATTTATTTACCTACATAGAGTTCCAGATTCGTGATTCTACTGTGAAAAATAATGATGGAAAATGTTTTAAAAGAGAAAAAAATCAATGCTTTAAGAAGTCAAGACTTGGCTCTTTGGTCAGCAACTGTTCTGCTGGGAAGGCAGCAGTGTAATGAGCCAAAGCACGTCAGCTGGCCAACAGCCCAATCAAAGGACCCTGTTTCATCCAGGAGCGCAGGGCCCACAGTACAAATGCTGTAAGACTGTGGCTGATGTGACCTAAAAAGGAGCATTCAACGTTCATGCTTCGTGGGAGCTATGGACAGAGACAGTGTGTGGGCAGAGGAGGGGCTGGAGGGAGCAAAGAAGAAACTGGTGTACGGAGTACAACACACTGAGACAGAAGCAACAGGAAAACACCTGTCAGCACAGGGAGAGCCATCCTCCCACGATCTGTTACATCACACAAAGGTACACCAAGCTAATGGTAGAGATCTTACTTCACTAGAAGAACTACCAGTTTGTATACCAGAGCTGCAATTTGATTTTCCCATTCATCGTGCTAAGAAGGCTCTAAGAGTTTCACAATTAAACAATGATTTGGGAGAAATATACATTACGGGAAAGAAAAATTTTCAAAGAATGCATATTGTTATCCCTAACCTACAACCCCAAACTTACCTCATCTTCACTTTGTAGAACTTTGTTTTGTAAAACACAGTAAAATAAAATGGTAAAATCATATACTGCAGATGCAGGAACTATACAACAAGGTGAATCAGGTACCACTAAAATATTCCCATTACTATTAGGGAGTTCAGTTTAGAATTTTTTGTCATGAAAATAATGTCACTTTAGTTTACACTTAGGTAAAAAGTAAATTATACTGAAAATTGTAGATTCACCAACCAAATCATAAATGGATTTTCATTCCCAAAATAACCCCACTTTCGCGTAATGAGAAGAATAACTGTGAAAGCCTAAGAACCTGAAAAAGGTGATGTCTGGGGCAGCTTCCACAGGAACACTTCCCATGAGAAATGAAAACTGATTAATTACCTGTAAGATAACAAGAGCATTTTCTATGGAAAGGTCATCTGATGGCAGGCCTTCACTTTTCCAAATTAACTGCTCACTTTCAGTACAAAGAAATCTCCTTAGGTCAAATTCTGAAAAGTTTAAGATATTAATATTTCACTACAGTGATCGTGTACTTGACAAGGGGAAGGGAACAAAACTATTTAAAATATACTCAAACAAAAGTCCCATGGCCATCCTTTAATATTCAATCCATTCTTCCCCCTTCAGCGTAAGAAGTTAAGGGGGATAAAAGTTTAAGACAAAAAGTGCAAAGGAATGGAATTCAGTGAAATTATATTTTTTTGTATATTTAATATATATTTCACAACTTTAATAATTTGAGAAAACCACAAAATTCACAAGGAATTTTGGAGTTCCTACATCTAATTTTATCATATAAAATTACTGTAAAAATCAATATATTAAAATATTTAACTGCATTCATCCATTATCAAAAATACTCCTGATCTCAGTTTCAAAGACGATTTTAGGAATAGAAGAATCATTGCAACAAAACAATTCAGAGAACAATTACACAATGGAACAAATCTAAAAATAGATTTGGTTTCTTTTAGCTTACAGAAAGTTTTTCTCATTTAGAAAAAGTAAAATGGCAAAAATTAAAAGATGCATTTTTAGGATATTGAAATTTCACAACATGAATGACTCAATACAAACTTTCAAGACAAGCTGACTTGGTCCATTCTTCTAAGCAGGTTTTCCTCAGACCTTCAGGAGCAGCAGAAAGATATGTGATAAATGCAGCCGCGAGCTGAGCTCTCTTAGGAAGAGTAGCTAATTCCTCTGTTATCTCTGCAACCTGGACAAGACATGAGAAAGCAGGTGGGGGAGTAGGGTACAGAGATGTTCTGACATGTGAAAAACATGACAGCTTCATAAATCAGAGTCCTGACCATAGAAGACAAAATCATGCATTGGTTTAACGTAATAACCCCTGTCCTGAATACAACCGTGGAATGTAAAAACACCAACGAGATCTCTCAGACCCTGCTGAAATTTTAAAAATGTATGAAATATCACTATTAATTGTAAAGATGAACATATTTTGTCATTGAACATTCCTAGTGAAGCAGAACTTTCATCGCAACGACAGTTAAACACTGTGAATTAGCGTCACTGTGTGAGCTACTATTAAGCGTAGACAGTACGAGCAAAGGCACAAAACAAAACTGTAAGAAAGCAGGGACACTCGTTAGCTAAAAGCGTAGTGTGGCTATGGAAGGGCAGAAAGAGGAGCCACACGGAAGACACGAAAAGAGGCAGACATGATGGGCGCAGGAAGCACACAAAGGAGATTCTGTTGTGAGCTGCAGTAGAAATGGTCCACGCGAGTATTTCTACAGGGCAGGGACCGACGTGATGAGACCGGGTTTAGAAAGACGGTCAGCACACAGACGTGCAGTGCACCAGTTTAAGGGCCAGGTAGGAGGGAGACAAGTTAGGAGAATTTAGGTAAAAAAATAAATAAATAAATGGCCTTAAAGACAGAAGACAAGTACGAGGGATATTTGCAAATGGATATGACAAGCAAATAAGGAAATCAGACCAGATGACTAGCAGTGAAATCCAATCAGCAATCAAAAAACTCCCAATAAACAGAAGTCCAGGACTGTATGGCTTCACAGGTAAATCCTACCAAGTATTTAAAGAAGAGTTATTAACTATTATTTCTAGAATACACCAAGTGAAATAAGTCATAACAGAAAGACAAATAGCATACTATTTCACGTCTACGAAGCATCTAAAAAAAAAAAAAAATGAATGAGTAAACAAGCAAAAAGCAGAACCAGATCCATTAATACAAAAAACAAAGTGTTGGTTTAGAGGACGGACAGAATGGGGGAAGGCAGGAGACATAGGTTCAGTTATGGAATGAGTAAGTCGTGGGAATAAATGGCACAGCATACGGAATACAGTCAACGACGAAGCGATAGTGTTGTATGGTGACAGACGGCAGCTACACTCGTTGTGAGCACAGTGTAATATATAGACTTGTTCAATCACTATGTTGTATACCTGAAACTAATATAACATGGTGGGACAACAGTACTCAAAACATTTTAAAATAGTAAGAAATAAACAAAAATACGTGTTCATCTCAAAGTATTCCAGAAAAATAGAAGAGAAAGGAAAATATCTAAATTTACTCCATGAGGCCAGCATTACCTGATACCAAAACCACACAAAACACTACAAAAAGAAAGAGAAAGAAAGAAAGAGAGAGAGAGAGAGAAAAGAAAACCACAGGCCAATGTTTTTGATGAATCAAGATGTAAAAGCTTTCAACAAAATATTAGCAAATCAAATTCCACAGTACATTTTAAAACATCACTACAATCAAATGGGATTTACTTCAGGAATGCACGAGTGCTTCAATATTTGAAAATCCAACAACGTACTACACCACATTAACAAGGGTAAAAGCTGTATGATCATCTCAAGAGATATAGAAAAAAATTTTGACAAAATACAATATGCATTCATAATAAAAACTCTCAGCAGAGTGGGGTCAGACAGAACATACCCGAACGTAATTAAAGTCATATATGAAAACACACAGCTAACATCATACGCAATGGTGATGAAAACTTTCCATCTAGGATCAGGAAGAAGACAAGGATGTCCACTTTCACCACTTTCATTCAACATAAAACTAGAAGTCCTAGCCAATCAGACAAGAAAAAAAAGTACAAAATGCATCCAAAATGCTAGAGAAGAAGTAAAACTGTCACTATTTGCAGAAAACATGATACTACACATAGAAAACCCTAAAGACTCGACCAAAAAATCATTAGATCTGATCAATGAATTCAGTAATGTTGCAGGAAACTATGTGCCGATAATTACTTTAAATGTAAATGTACTAAACACTCTAACCAAAGACACAGGGTGTCAGGATGCATTAAAAAAAGAGAGAGAGAGAGAGAGAGAGAGAGAGACCGACCCATCTATATGCTGCCTACAAGGGACTCATTTCAGACCTAAAGACACCAGCAGATGGGAAGTGAGGGATGGAGAACCATGTGTCTTGCTAATGGACGTCAAAAGAAAGTCAGACCAGCAATACTTATATCAGAGAAACTAGACTTTTTTGTTCTTGTGTTTCTGTCCTGCGTTGGTCTCAGGGTGATACTGGCCTCATGGAATGACTCTGAATGTGTTCCTTCTCTGCCATGATTTGTAAGATTTTGATACAGATTGATGTTATTTTTTTATGTCTGGCAGAATTCACCAATGAAATCACGTGGTCTTGTATTTTCCGTGCTAGGAGATTTCCGGATCCTAATTCATCTTTCATTCTTCTTATTGGTCTAAGAAGATTTCCTATTTCTTGGATTCACAATTCATGATTCGATCATGGGTAACCTGCCCATTTTCTAAGTTATCTGACTTGTTAGTATACAAGTATTGTTTATAGTAATTTGTTACCGCACTATGTATTTCTGTTGTACTATTTTTCTCCTACATTTCTCATTTTGACTTTCAGTCTTCTTTTTCTTAGTTAATGTAGGTAAAACACTGCCATTTTTGTTTACTTTTTTGGAAAAACTGGTCATTACTTTCAATGTTTTATTACTGTTTATTTTGGTCACTATTTCTAATTTTTCTTTCTTCTTTCGTCTACTAATTCCAGCTAAGTTTCTTCTTTTTCTAGTTCCTTGGGCATCATGTTGTTTTTTAATTTTTTTTTCTTCATACAACCATTTATAGCATAAGTTGCATTCTAACATCTAGTTTTGCTGTATCCCACAGGTTTTAGAATATTGTTTTCTTTTTTTTTTTTTTTTTTCTTTGAGACATACTTTGATTTGCTGTTTGATTTCTTATTTGGCCTACTGCTTATACAATAGTATGTTGTTTAATATTTATATATTAAATATTTAATATTTACATTGTAGATTTTCCAGCTCTTTATTATTGTTGATCTTTATTTTTGTCTCACTGTGGTTGGAAGACATATTTGGTATAACTTCAGTCTTCTTAAATTTATAATATTTGTTATGTCTCTTTTTATGTGATTTTAATCAAGGGATTCTTCTGCGTATACTTAAAAAAACGTGTATTCTATTTTTTTGGATGGAATGTTTTTTACATATCTTTTAGAACTGTGTATTCTGAAGTATGTTTTAAGTAAAAAATGTTCTTGTTGAAAAAAAAAAACCAGTAACTTGAACTGAGGGTGCTCATTTAACAGAAAGCTTATGAGAGGTGGGATGGGCACAGGGCAGGTGCAAGTTAAGAGCACACTCATCATGAGGAGCACTGAGCAACGATGTACAGAACTGCTCAGTCACTACAGTGCATCCTCGAAACCAGTGTAACCGTACGTTAACTACACTGGAATTAAAATAAAAAACATAATATAAAAAGAAAAAGAATGGATAAAGAAGACACACACACACAATGGAATTATTACTCAGCCATAACAAAGAATGAAATCTTGCCATTTGTGACAACATGGATGAACCTAGAGGGTATTCTGCTAAATGAAACAAATCAGGCAGAGGAAAACAAATTCCGTATGATTCCACTTACATGTGAACTCTAAAAGACAAACACACAAACCAAAAACAGAAACAGACTCGTGACTATGGAGAACAAAGTGATGAGTGCCAGATGCGAGGGGGTAGGAGAGGAGGGTGGGAGAAGCAGGTGGAGAGGATTAAGAGGGACAGACTTCCAGCTATAAAATAGGGTCGTCGCGGGGATGTGACGTCCAGCACCAGGAACACAGTCGGTAATGTTCTAGTAATGTCGCATGGCTGCAGGTGGAAATGAGAGACGGTACTGAGACTTACTGTGCTGAGCAGGTTATAACGCACGTAAGGGTCACACTACGATGCTGTGTGTCTGAAACTAGTGTAATATGTAAGTCAACTACGTTCAATAACAAAATAAGTAAATAGAAAAGGAAAAGGAAGCCTGGACCCAAAAAAAACCCAAAAAACAAAGACCACAGAGCTAAGCAGTCTGGAAACACAGCTCTGGTTGGCGTCCTGGAGGAGGAGACGTTGCTAAGACTGAATGAGGTGCCCCTGGGACGGCTGCAGGGACAGGAACCCAGAGGGCGACCACGCCGTCCCGGTTGGGCACAGGACAGTCCAGTGGGGGGGGAGCCAATGGATTCAAGAAAAACCCACCAACCAACCAGAAAAAAAAAAAAGAAAAGAAAAGAGAAAAGAAAAAAGAGACAGCACTTAGATAAAATCAAAATAACGGAGTGTTTCTAGAAGAAGTAAGTGGCCAACAGTGTCCAATCCTCAGCTTGTGGTCCCGGACGGGCAAGTCCAACAGGATTTCCAGAGAGTGCCACACCTCCTCTCAAGTCATGTTTGTCCCTGCTGTCCCGCCGGTGACACACACAATGACCAGAAAACAGGCGGCCCTCAGATGCTCTCACACAGAAACATTCTGCCTGACGACAAGCTTCTGTCATGGCCACGAACGTCTACACCGCTGACCCCCAGCCAGCTCCAAGTGCACGGCTACTGTCCTCCTGTTTCCTTTTCTTAATGAATACATTACATTGCAGGTTTTCTGTGTTTTAAAGGGAGCTTCTCTCTCTGTCGCCCCCCACCACCACCCCGCCCAGCACACCTGAGCTTTCCAGCGCTTGTGCTCTCTGTCGAGCTGACTGATGAGAACCTGGGCAGCCTGGATCGTCTCCTGCGCTCTGCTCACTTCAGCTTCCAGTTTGGCAGCTTCGGACGTCCTGCTCTGGAACCTGTGACAACAGTAGCATCAGTTAAAGGCAAAGGGACGTGAGAGGGATTTGATTGAATGATCCTTCAGAAAGTGAGCTTTTATCTAAGAATGTAGTTAACGGTAATACTGATAGTAATCGTGTTCAAGATTATCGCCCACGGAGCAGACACACCAGTGCGCAGATCTGCGCACAAACTCCTCCACGTGACGTTCAGGGCCTGGGAAGTCAGACCCCATCGGCTGCTTCAGTTTTCCATCATTCAAACCTCACGTGTCAGCCTCAGAAGGACAAACACTCTATCCTCTACCTGCTTCTTCAGGATGTGCCACGTGCCTGGTACCCTTCTAGCCCCTTTCTTACCCCTTCCTTGCCTGCATTCTAACTCCTTCAAATATCTACCTATCAAAAATATAAACAAAAGTTTAAAACTCATTTCAAATATCCAACCCAATACATATATTTTTTCCCCATGTGCCCATTTGCCCAGGTTTATAACAGCCCTTTCAAATTATTTTCCTTAAAAAATGCTTATACAAGGTTGTTGTTTTATGAAATGAAACAGTAACATTCTAGCTGACTACCTAGTCCTTCAACGAAAATGCCCAGGATTATGCGAAGCATGAAAAACAAAACAATGAGCAGCAACGAAAAAGCATATCATGTAATCCTCAGAACAGCACTGTCCGAACAGGTGCCATCACGGGGCCCCCCGGAAGCAGCAGGGGTGTGTAGTGCACAGAAGGGCGCATCGGACGCCACACTCCATGGACTTGCAGTGCGTGCCTTGTGGCCTCTCCGAGTGCCCAGCACCTTCTTCACTACACAAAGGAGCCAGACTTGGTTTTCCAGGATGGTGGCCGCCAGCCCCATGTGGCTACTTAAATCTAAATTAACTAAGAGTAAACAAAATCTGAAATTCAATTCCTCTTCCGTCCTACTGCCCACACCTCAAGGGCCAGTGGCTACCGAACTGGAGAGCGCAGTCTAGAGAGCCTTCCACCCTGTCACCAGGCTCCACGCACGGCTCTGCTCAAGACCTGGAAGCAGAGACCACACTTACCCAGCTCAGCAGCTCACGCTACGCACAAGGTTCTGCCGAAGGCACTCGCTGAGTTAAGCTAACTTGCATGTTTCTGTATAAGTTGCACTAAAATGACAAATGTCTCAATTCTGTCAAGTTAGAATTATAAAATTGATAGAACATACTTATTTTTCAACTATTTCTTTCTTCGGGCCTATACAAGAAAATAAGATTATCAGTCACAACCTAGGGTCAATTAAACCTTAATTAAGGATCAAGTAAATGGCTGTTAACTGGCATTGATTCATTCTCGATAGTGACTCTAAACTGGAAAATGCCATTCCATTTTACTTAAAATTCAAATTCTGAAGGTTTTTTAAAAATCATTCTCCCACAATACTGACAGGATGGTGCCGTGATTCACAACAGGGACTTTAGGGAGTGAGAAAGTCTAAGATCCACTGCCGGCTTTGTCAGTGACTGTGCAAGCCGGGCGCACACACCTTGCCCACGCGCAGAACGCAAGCGTATCCCCTCCTCAGGTTTATGTGAGGTACTAACGATGACACACACGTGAAGTGTCCAGGACAACAGCCAACACACGTGCTGTCACCTGCGAATGACCCAGTAAATACTGGACACCTGGCTGAAGAGTAAGCTCGGGCTCTCAGCATACGACACTGCAAGGAAGAAGTACGTTCCTCGTGCTTCTCTAATTACACCCAGAAAAAAATGATGAAGTTTCTTTCCTTATCTATAACATCAAAAAAATTCAGAAATACTGAAAACACTGTATGTATGGGTCTGAGATTTCTTTTCTGGTTTTTTCTTTTCTCTACAAGTAAATATATATAAGCATAAACAAGATGATTATTTCCTATGTGGAGAAAAAAAATAATAGTTTTCAGTCTGAAGACTCTCTTTCTTGGTACAGTAATTGATATTTCTTCCATAAAAAAGGAAGGAAAATGGAACACATCACTTGAAAAAATGTTTGTATTTAGAAAAGTTTGAGTCTTACAAAACTAAAAGCAAGCGATAACATGACATCGTATATAATCACATCTTCTCCCACTTCCCAATCTTTCAGTGCGATCTTCCATGAGGGAACATGTTTCTAAACACTCAGAAGAACAAAGTTAAAAGGACAGAACAGTCTCTAACGAGACCCTGCGCGTCAGGCAGGTTGCAGGTCACGGAGGCAGTCTGGAGAGCACGGCAATGTGGACGCCAGCGTAAGGACTGTGCACGTGACCCCCCTTGCATCCCAGCCCTCCGCCCCGGGCCCCAGGGCTCAGGAGCAGACACAGGGACAGCTCCACGACGCGGACTGCAAATAACGCTTGTTCCTACTCAAGTCACTGTTGAAAAAAGGAAAACCTTCAGTATTATTTCAAATGCTTCCCTATTTGAGAGTGATAAGTCACTAAAGGAAGTGAAAATAATGATTATAAGATTTTCAAAACTAAAACATTAGTTGACGTATGTTTTCAAATATCCAAAATGCATTCTTTTTTCAAAATACATTTTAAACTGAACTTACTTCTCTTTGAGTTCTGATACTTTCTGGCCAACAGAATTTAGAAGCTCCTCTAGTTTCCTTTTTCTGTCTTCAGTTTTCTTCAAATTTCTAAAATATAAATTTATAAGTTACTCTATTTTATATATCAATAATAGCAGAAACAACCTCTTCTATCCCTTCTAAAGCCCTACCAAAATGAAACCAAGGGAACAAAAAAAGAAAAAAAAAAGGTATTCATGTGCAAAGATAAAGAGAATGAAAGAGAAAAGGACCTCCATGGAGAAGCTTTAAAGGTGGGGGCGCCTGGGTGGCTCAGTGGGTTAAAGCCTCTGCCTTAGGCTCAGGTCATGATCTCAAGATCCTGGGATCGAGCCCCGGGTTGGGCTCTCTACTCAGTGGGGAGCCTGCTTCCCCCTCTCTCTCTGCCTGCCTCTCTGCCTCCTGTGGTCTCTGTCAAATAAATAAAATCTTAAAAAAAATTTTTTTTGAAAGGTGGTTAAGTGACATAATGGAATACAAAAACCAAAAGTTGAGGGGCTGCAGGAAGAAAAGCCAAAGAAGAATGCCAAATGCTGGGGAACGGGGACAGCAGAGCCTCTGAGGGTGACAGAGCTGAATACAGAGCATCTTCCAATAGCTGGTATCATCAACCTGTCAACCTCAGACCCCCTCCCACATGAGAAGGGACCATCTTAACTCATCCCTGACAGTCGGGCTTAGAACCCTCACCCATCGGCCCACACCCCAGGCAGAGAGTAGGAAGACTCTTCCAGAGAAGGAGACTAGGCTCGGCCCCTCCCTGCAAAAATGCCACACAGCAGCTGAGACGGAAACGACCCATCCCCAGTGCTGTGCATGCGCTTCGCACAGTCACCTAAAGGACTCATCAGAACAGAGTGCAAGGCCTTGCACCCAGCACCCCCAGGCCTCTGACTCAGCATGGACAGAGCTCAAAGGGGGCGATCTTCCCAACTTCCCAGGGGACGCCAATGCCGCCAGCCTGGGGGGTCTCACTTGGAGAACTACTGTAATAGAGTAAGGCCTTCGAAACAGTGAGATTAAACTACTGCTTGCCTAGTGTCGTATCCCCAGCCCGGTCACTGGTCAGACACAGCAGCAACACCCGTAACTTCAGACGGGCAAGACGTCACAACGTTTTTCGACCTACATACCCTTTCTCCTGTGGAGGATGTGTTCCAGAAAAATGAAGGACTAACCTAAGAAAGAGTAGGACCCGAAACAAAAGAACACGATCAGAAACGGGAGGAAGGGAAAGTCACGGGAATCTTGGTGAAGAGAAGCGTCAAGACAGCAGCTGTGAGTCGCAGGCCTGGGGGACAGGCCCACACAGAGCAGGACAGGAGGCTCCAGGGGGGGAACAGTAAGGAAGAACACATACCACTCAGAGGTTCTGAATGTGGGTGAGCGTCCGTTTTAAGGCTGTGGATAAATATGTGATACGTCCACACAAATCATAGTCAACTTTAACAAGGAAGAAATTAAGAAAAACAAAAAGATGTGCAAGAAAGGAAACATACAGTGGGAAAAAGCCAGTCTCTTCAATAAATGGTGCTGGGAAAACTGGGCAGCTATATGTAGAAGAATGAAACTCGACCATTCTCTTACACCATACACAAAGATAAACTCAAAATGGATAAAAGACCTCAACGTGAGACAGGAATCCATCAGAATCCTAGAGGAGAACATAGGCAGTAATCTCTTCGATATCAGCCACAGCAACTTCTTTCAAGATATGTCTCCAAAAGGCAAAGGAAACAAAAGCCAAAATAAACTTTTGGGACTTCATCAAAATGGCACCTTTGAGCCAAAAAGTATTATAAATTCCCCAAGTTCATGTAGCCGAGGAGATGTGTTTACATTCAAGTGTGTCTCCAAATAGTTTACTCTTTCCATGGAACCATTGCCTCTCTCAAGATCATTTGTTAAAAAGAAATTAAGCGGGGATGCCTGGGTGGTTCAGTGGGTTTAGCCACTGCCTTCGGATCAGGTCATGATCCCAGGGTCCTGGGATTGAGTCTGGCATCGGGCTCCTTGCTCAGTGGGGAGCCTGCTTCTCTCTCTGCCTCTGCCTGCTGCTCTGCCTGTGTTCTCCTGCACTCGCTCGCTTGCTCTCTCTCTCTGACAAATAAATAAATAAAATTAAAAAAAAAAAAGAAATTGACCAACCAAAAAAGGTTTGAACACTGTGGGTTTTCAGCTAAAATTACAATGCCTGCACTCAAAATACACAAAATTATGTGCTGAGCTTCTTTTTATAACAAAGAATATTGTATTCCTAGTGTATTTGCATTGTCTATTTTTCACTTATGATTTGGTTTAATTCTGTAAGCATTTACCAAGAGCATGTTTTATATAGGACCCATTGCTTATCATTATGGGCTCTCCACAGCTACGTAAAATTCAAATTATGATCTTGTGCAAAAAGATGATAGGAAATGGAAATTTATAAAGTTTCTACTACCTATCAAATATTGTGTTAAGAACTTTTACACATTTGCCTCACTTGATCCCCATTTTGTAGATGTTTGGACTGAGGCTTATAAAATCACAATGAGGGTGCCTGGGTGGCTCAGTGGGTTAAGCTGCTGCCTTCGGCTCAGGTCATGATCTCGGGGTCCTGGGATCGAGTCCCGCATCGGGCTCTCTGCTCAGCGGGGAGCCTGCTTCCCTCTCTCTCTGTGCCTGCTTATAAATAAATAAAAATCTTTAAAAAAAAAAATAAAATCACAATGATGGTTCCATGACATCAGGAATAAAAATTGTTGACCTGAAGTTATGGCCAGATCTTTCAGCTCCCCAAACCTATTTTGCTTCCGTTAGTTCATGCATGTGGGTGGCTCTTGTGCAAGGTATGAAAAGAGATTCACAGCCACATTGGTGGTTTGGAAAAAGGAGAGAGAATTTGGCTTCTACCAGGAAACCAGTACAAACATTCTCTTCTCTCATCAAATAGGCAGTCTTTATTTTGTAAGAATGAAAACATTCTGCCAGAGATATTTCTCCTGGACACTTCCCATCTTGCAAATCGAGTCTGAAATCAAGAAAATGATCGAAACATTGGGAAAGGAGAAGAGAGAAGTACAAGCAATTTTATTTGTCAATAGTAACAATCAGTAACTATGAGCTTTAAAATTTCCCATGAATTCCCTCCATTGCATAAAAAGAGTTCTAGCCAAAAAAAAAAAAAAAAAAAAATTTTTTCCAAAGGAAAAAAAAAAAAATTTAAATATGTGTGTGTTTGTGTGTTTTTTTATATTTATATATATATATATATATATATTTATATTTTTTTTTTTTTTTTTTTTTTCAGCTCTAGCGTTGAGCTAAGCGTTGTATATTTAACTTCACTCTTTATCCCCATAGCAGCCCTGAGAATTATTATAATCCCCATTTGGTAAGTATAGATACCCACAGATATATTAAAATGTTCAAAAGGTTGCCCAAGATCACAGAATGGTGTTTCATTCCAGAACACACGAGCTTTCTCCTACATCACTTGCTAGGAAGGATTATCTCTGGGCAGAGCAGGTGGGGAGTGCAGTATGTATCCATGGACCAAGGACTGAACCCTTAGACCCAAGACTGTCATTCTACTCTCTAGGTTACTCCCTCAGTCCAACCACTGGCGTTTCTGTCCGAGTTCCAGAAATGTGGAACAAATGAATCTATAGAAATGATGATCATACATCTAACTGGTCATTATTATTCTTAAAACCTGTTTACCATGCTCTGACTTTTCTTCCTATCAATCCATTGACAAGTGTTACTGTTGAACTTGTGCTATGATTATTCTTTTCCAGATGATGGACACTAAATGCACAGCATTGACATGAACTACTCAAGGCCACACAGATATGAAGTGGTAACACTTAGATGTCTAGATTTCAAACTGTGAGTTCTTTTCCAACATTTTTCTGATGTTCAAAATTTGAAGAAGTATATTTCTTGGGTCCAGTCCTGGACAGATGGTGGGCATACTTCCTTGTTACAGTAAACAAGTCTGAGGATACAAGAATTCAATCAGAGATACTGGCATTGTGAAAGTGAGAGACTGATGGATAGATCTCCGTGTCCTCTGCAGGACGCATAGGGCAAGCCTGGCAGGTGATCTAGAAAGGTAGACCTTTATGAGTGAAGTGGGTATTAGTATAACTTCTTAAAGATGCTGAAGCCGAGGTTTAAGAGAGACATTCTCAACATCATAAAGCTAGTTGTTAACCAAAGGAGGGTGTGTTGGGGCTAGCCAGCTCTACACCCTTGGCCTGTGGTTAAGGAAGGATGTACAGTGAAGTCAATAAGCATTGAACGCTAAAGGGAAACCAGTTGTTCCCAAATCCCAGCTCGTCCCTTTCACTGCTCTGTGACCTTGGGCACTTTGCTTGACATCTCTGTGCTTTAGCTCATCATATGAAATCTGGGGATCATAATTTCACTGTCTTATAGATTTGTCCTGAGAATGAAATGGGGCAGGGCATCCCAAATGCTTCAAGCTGTCTCAGGCACAGAGTCAGGTTGAGGAGCGATAGCTACCATTGTTCAGTAGACCACAACCCCCATTGTCTTCTCTGTAAAATGAGCACTGATGTCCTATTCTGACAGCGTCATAATAAGAATTACCTGAGAAACAGTGCAAAAGAACATCGATAAAAGGCACTTCACAGTGTTTGCAATGGGTGTGGCCGCTAGAGATTTATAAATGCTACAGAAAGGGGGAGCTAGCAATCTCTCGGGAAGTATGAGCCGGGCACTGCTGGTACAGAAGACACCGAGACCAATAAGGTACAGACTCTGTTCTCCGGGGGCTCCTAGAAGAGTAAGGAGCACAGACATGGAGAGAAACAGTTCTCAAACACAGTGATGCTTCCATGGAGGCTTTAAGAGAAGACGAGATACTCTGTCTGCAAGCCTGCGGCATCCATTCTCATTATGAACTGACCTTAACTTAATAAAAGGGAAGATTCACTTTATCTTATCTAGCTTCCTCTTATCCAGTTTTATGCCAGCATGGGATGATGAAGACGGAGACCAGGTGACCTGACCTTGACCTGGGCTTGCTGTGTCACCTGGGGATGTCGCTTCACTTACTT